CATCTTGGTGCAGTCACAATCAAGTTTGTGAAGGCGGTGACATTATAAAGTAGCAACGGAAATGCTTTGGTACTGAACAGGGGTTGGAGCCTTGGCATTCTGTTCGAAACACCTGCCCAAACACATCACCAGAGCTATAGAAGAAGACTTTCCTTTGACATCGACTGCAAAATGTGCTCACGCAATCTGGGAAACGGTGAAGAACACATCATGCTAGTTAAAAACGCCTTAGTGGTGAAATTTGCAGTCAGTCAAAGATCCAGAAGACGCATTTTTTGAGACCTGGCACTTCTATTTTCCCAGATTTTCCCCGTCGCCCCCCCCCCCCCACTCATTGAAATCGCAGGCGTAACACAACTATAATGAGCTGGATTTGAGTGGCGTAGCTTCTCCCGTCTCCTGTTTTGCTGCTTTTAGTGTCCTAGCATTAACAGTAATCCTGCAGGTGATCTTAAAGCTCCACATTGTGCAAGTTTGAGCCAGGAGACGCGCTGTGTTCTCTGTGCTAATGAGGCCTGTGGAGACTCTCTTACTAATACTACTTTACAGACTGATAATCTTCAATTCACCAGGCGCCACCATCACTCTCTCTCTGCACACAAGTGCCGGCTTATTCTTCCATTTAAAGCCCCTACTGTCGTAATGACTGGTGCTCAGGTTTGATCACAGAAGAAGCCTGGAAAGAGTGCTGAATTCAACGTGGAATTGACCAGAATTTAAAAAAAGAAGAAATATTATGCATTATTTTGGGCTATAGAAAATTATGAGACTCAGGTTTTAGAGTGTGAAATAATATCTTAAAAGGAAATTACTGCATATAGTGGAAAAAGTATTAAAGGGGGAAAACATGCCCTATCCCTATGCTGAGGCACGCACAAGAGATCTTTTTTTTCTAACCCAAAAACTAATATAATGGGCATTACTGAACTGCTCTGAGGGTGATGTCATGGTGGTTCAATGACATCATACTATCAATCAACCAACATTTATTTGTATAGCACAATTTGTGTACAGGGCGTTTAAGTGATTCACAAGAGCAATTAAAAAAACAGATCAAAAAGCATAAAAAGTCTATTACAGAACTGAGACAGGAGCTTTTCGACACCGAGGGGTTTTGTGCCAGAAGTGTCTCATATTAGCATGGATGGATCTAAAAACTTCGGTACATTTTCATAATGTCTCCTCTAAACAATCTCTTTTATGGTATTAATGTAATATTTCTCTAATTCTCAAAGTTGTTGCTTCGCTTAGAACGTTATTATACTAAATCCATAGAGAGAAGTTGTCTCAGATGTATTTTGGTATCGGAATGGGACAAAATCTCACAAGACTAAATTGTGTAAGATTGCACACTCAGGGATTTCTTTCCTTTACATTCTTCTTGGACCCAAAATAGTTGCATTAATGGGCTGAGTTGCACATTTTGAGAAGCCATCGTTATCGAAAGCAGAGCTACAATGACAAAGATCAAAATTGTGATGACCAAAGCAACTAAAAAAACAGCCTTTGAATTTGTGAAAATTCAATCTTTTACCACCCATAGTATTTGTTTTTTCCCACCAAGGGTTTACTGGTGATTATTTATGATTTTGATGCTTTCTTATTTTTTTCAGCACTTTGAATTGCCTTGTGTATGAATGGTGCTATCTAAATAAACTTGCCTTGCCTTGCCTTACTGCAATACTAAAAATAAAGACAAAATAATTTACTCTCACTACAAAGAAACTTATTTGACACGGAATGCTCTCAGATTCCAGAAAGAACAAAACGTTACGGCCTTATACACGCTGCAGTGATACAGGAGGAGGAGTTTTCTATTGGGTTAAAGCACGACAGAGCGAGCTGCAGAGGCCTCAAAATGAGTCACATCAGAACAGCAGAACAAACGGCAGAACAAAAGCAGAGGTAATCAGCTGTAAAGTGGATTCACACAACTGTGTTTGAAGACTTCTCGTGCACACAACACAACAACACGTCTTTATCCTGTACTATAGTATACATAGATATAGAAAACACTGCTGTACTATAGTATACACTTGTGTTACCAACCCTAGTGAGAGATACTGATTCCATGGAGTACTTGATGACACTATTTTTCAAACTTGCGATTTTCAAATTGATAAGAGGATAATTGGGCTGCTCTGACATGTATTGTATGATTTTAAAGCTAATTTTCCAAAGAAAATATCCATATAATGTATTTCATTCTAAAATGCCAAAATATTGGCATTTTGGACACCACTCATAGTAAAACAAGTATCAAGGGGAAACAATGCCCTGTCCCTATGCTGAGGCAGGCACTGCTAACACTAATGACACTAATTTATATGAAAAGCATCTGATCATACTTTAAAACGCTATGAATCTTAGTACATATGAAACCAAATTGCTAAAGTACAATATTATTAATAATTACGTATTCATATCGCCCTTGACAATTAATTAGCCATAATGACATGGATTGGACTGTTAGATTTGCAGCGTTTATAATCTTCTAGTCCTGGGGGAAAAACCAAAACATTTGAAGTGCTTTTTCAGTTTGCTTCCAATGTCCAGTCAACAAATGTCATGACAAAACATGACGTCAGAACTTCTAAATCTGTCAGCCAAGACATTTACCGTCATTATTGCTAAAAAATTGGGTACCTAACTTTTTACTTTCATATAAACACAGTTTGTCCATATTGTCTTATAAAAGTAAAACAAATCAGGCCACACCGTGCTGATTTTAGTTTATCAGGAAACATGTTATGTTTTGTATACTTGCAAGAAAGAGCCCTGTGAGTCACTATTTTGGGCTGAGATGATTGGCTGAGTGACTTGGGCATCTCTTTTTCAAATGTCTGAAGCTGATCGATGACAGAGACCAAAGAAGCATGTATGTAAAAACTAGTGATAGAACCAAACCAACCAGAAACTAGTTAGATGGATTTTATTACACAGTTCAATTGTTGTGGTTTGAAAATTAGGTACCCCGGCTTTATTAACCACAGAACACTATACTGCACCAACACTCACACAAAACCATATATATTTTTACATTCACAGAGCTAACCCCGAACTGTCATGGAGGCACAGAAAAGCATTTTTTCTGGGTCAAATCTGATATGAGCTTCGAATAGGATATTGACACATCCCCCGCTTTCAACAAGGTGAAGAGTAGAGATTGTAAAAACACAAAATGGCAAAAAGAGCATGTGCCAGGACATTCCGCTGGTCCTTTTGAGCCCACTTTCCCACCAGTTAATTGCGCCGCGACACCAAGAGCTCAGGCCGCTCGCTCCCTAATCACAACAGTGACAGGTGGTCCGGCCGAGTATTTTAAAACCCATCCTTTTTTGGGGCTGTCACAATGAAGGAGGTATTATCAGACTATATATATTCCCGACGACAAAATGGCGCCTAACCGACGACAGATGTGTGAATTAGAAATGAGGGCCATGTGGAGCCTGCCATTTTAGACCTATATTTAGGGCCTGTTAAAAGAGTAATGACCATCAAAGGCCTGTAAAAGAGAGGAATTGCCATCAGAGCCGGTATCCAAAATGTGATTTATTGCGCGCTAATGGGAGGGAAATGGCGCTCGGCACATCAAACGAACAGGCAAGCGGCGACTAAAAGATACCGAGAATAAGCTTCGCCATGCCCTCCAGGAAACTCGTGTTTAAGTAGCGTTGGCAGTTTGCAGGGCACCTGATGAAGAATGCGATCTGTGACGGATTTACGGGCAGTTTTTAATACTTCGCAAAAAAAGCCCCAAATTGTCTCTCCGCAAAAGGGATCCGAGCCAAGCATGTAACGATCTCTCACCGGGTAAAGAGCCTGCTCCTCTTTTTCGCACAGGTCTCGCTGACACGGGAGGGTTGCATTTGTCATTCTCACCTTTCAGCAGCTACTTTGTTTCTAATGAGGTGGAATAAGCCCGGAGGAGGCGTGTAGTTTAGGGAGAGGTGGATGTCTTGTCTTAAACGCTGGACGAGTTGGAAGTGATTTTGTGTGTGACAGGGGAGGAGAGAGTGTGTTGGCGGAAAAACCGGAACTGGGCTTGGCCTCCTGTGCCTACTGAGCTGATAATCAGTCGTATCCAAGCACTGGCTCAGTTCAGCAGGAACAGGAGTGCAGGCCACATCAACACCAGCACCACCATCACCAGCAACACCATCACCATCACACTGGGGCATTTAAACAAGCGTTTATACTGGTTTTATCTTCAGTTGACTACATTCTGACTGTCTTTAAATGGCTTTGTCCCATTGGAAAATCTTGTTTTGTCTTATTTTAACAACTGTTGCTTTATTTTCTCATTCTAAGGGAGATATTTCTTGTATCTTTTGTACTAACTCTTTAAAAAAAAATATATATATACAGTATGTTGTACAGATCCTGCCAGCACCTTTTTTCTTTTGTTTTGCTCTTCTCTTGTTGCCCGTGTGGGTACAGTGCTTTCTGTATGGCACAAAATGTTATAATTTGGTATGGCTCAAAAAAAGTATTGAAAGTTTTCATATAATATTCAAATTATCATATCCCATTGGCAAGTCTTGTTTTAGTCAGAATGTGCTCATTTGCAGGAAGATATTTTCCTGCAAATTTGAGCAATTTTTGACGGTTTTTTACCACTTTTTGCAGTGATAGATGGTAGTTCTTATGGTCTTGTGTTCTTTGTTTTGTTTCATTTTGTTTACACATTCTGACGAGTGATCAGTGTAAACAATGGAGACTAGTTATTGTTTTTATCAGATTGTTCTACTGCTTTAGTTAGTTTTTCTTATTCTATGTTTACTTTTCTAACCTGTTTGCACTGACAGCCAAATCTATTTGCAAATTAGTGACTTCCTGTTACCCACAATGCCAATAAAAACAATTCTGATTCTGATGTGTGGGGTATTCTTGGGGGCCCCTGACAGCATTTTATTTTACCTTTTCCTATAAACACTGAGACAAGATTGAACTTTTCACAAGTTTCTAATGACATACTTTTGTGTGAATGTGTCTTCCAGGTTACCGAGTCCAGATGGAGACGGCAGAGGGGAAGGGGATGCCACAAAACGCCCACGCTCGTCCCAAAGCCAGCCTCAGCCAACTGTTCTGCAGACACAGCACAAGCACAGTCCAAAAAAGCACAAAAACGCAGAAACACAGAAAAGCCGAGGGTCATTTTTACCTGTTTAGCTTCACGACCAGAGAGTTTGGACCTGCGTCAGTGACCGTGCGGGTGACTTGAAGACGGAGCTCCATGTGTGTTTAGTCTGCGGTAATAATCTGGTTCTTAGTTTAGACTGGAAATACCTTCGGGCCAGTGGTGTTTTGATCCACAGTATATGACCTCAGAGCCCCCCAACACTGGAAAATACTTGATACTCGACACTCAGGACTCTTTTTGTTTTTTAATGTGGTGAACCGATGGTGGGACAAGATGACACTCAGATTGAGATGGATTGAAAAGTCGCACTTGTTTTGTTGTCTGCAGAGGTGGCAAAAGTACCAAGTAGTAGGTACGGAAGTAAAAGTAGTATAACAATTATTTCTGGTATAATACTGAAATAATTTCCTATTTTGACGGGGGGGGGGGGGGGGTTTATGTAAAAGATCAAATGTTTTCTAATGGCTGATCTAGAAGTGACAGTCCATAAACTAATGATGGAGAAGCTAGGGAGATTTTTTACTTGGTTAGAAAATTAGGTATTCCAGCTAGTGTAAAAGTATGAGTTTCTGTATGTAATGAAGTAAAATAGGGGTAAAAATGTGGTTGAAAAACTGACAAACAATATAATAAAAGCATTGTCTCTGAAGCACTGTTTATACTTTTTCATAAGGACGAGAATGACAACAAACAAAAGCTTCCCAATGGTTTTGTGAACTTAGAAGCGGAGCTAATAACATCAAACCTGTAGAATGCCTTATCATCTGCAAAGGAACATTCAAATGTAAGAAGTAGAAAGTACCGATTTTTGGGTTATAATGAAAAAAGCTGTCTAAAAATAAGCGGTTCCATTTTCATTTTGTACAATCCTTTTTGAACAAGCTTAATGTAAACACGACACACTAACATCCTACAAGTTTGGTGTTTTTATCCGATGTTATGGTTCATGGACACAAATGCAGCTTATTCTGTTTTTGTGTGTGTTATCTTTATTGACTCACTCAATTTTCATGTTTTTGTACAACTTCAATACATGTTTTATTACATCACTAGTTACATCATAATTTACAGACTTAACCAGCGAACCCACTGGCACTCATACATATTAAAAACATTTTTATATAGCGCTTTTTGGACACAACACTCAAAGACGCTTCACATGTCATTCATTCCATACACAGTGGTGATAAACTACTACTGTAGCCACAGCTGCCCTGGGGCACACTGACAGAAGCAAGGCAACCAGTATGTGCCATCAGCCTCTCCCACCAACCAACCATTCTCACACACACCAGACTCAAGCCACATCATGATTACTGCATGGATTTTCATTTTAGAAACAAATAATTTCCTTCTATATATTACACTCTATTACTATGTTAGCTTTTTAGAATAATCAATGTATTTGTTTTGTATGGATACATGTTTAAAGTATCTAAATCTCTCATGAAACAATTGTATTGTGTTTGACTGACACCAAAGCCAAGTTCAATAAAATGAAAACGTGCCGGCCTAAACACACTTTGTGCTGTGTCGTGTCACTGTTTTCCTTTAATAATGCACACACAGGCGACAGTACGACATTAGTTATGAGTGCTCTTCCAATGTCTCCCGGCTTCACCGTAGCGTGAAGGATTTGTACTGCGAGACAATTATGTGAGTGGGAGGACCCGGCACGTCGCACAAGCCACTGGTTCCTGCGCTCGTCTGTCACTTCTCGAGTGTCCTTGTGGGCTCCGGAGCTGTGTTCGGAGCCTATGTGGGTAATTGGAGCCTCTTCACATAATCTTTCTAGTGGCTCTGTTTTGACACGCTGCTGTCGCCGTCCCACTGCGCTGTTGGCAAAACGTGCTGTGAAATACACTGGACGATGAACCCGAGTAACGAGCTCTGCGCAACACTTTGATCCTCGTGAAGAAGCTGCTTGGTATCGGATCATACGGAAAATCTTTTTGGGGGGGAAGTTCAACAAGAGCCGACGCATCCTTAATACCAGAAGCTCACACAGTGCATTACATAGACCACGCCAAAGTCAAAATGTACCAGGGTTGGAACGTCTGCATTTTACTCATAATTGTAATTTTTTTGTCAGTCACACACACCCATCAAATTTCTATAAATGTTAAAGATCAAAATATGGTTCATGGATATAAACCCAGCCTATTCTTTGTTTTTGTGTGTGTTTGTTATTATTATTGACTCGAACCCACCCACACTCATACATATTAAAAAACATATCCATCAAATCTCTGTAAATGTTAAAGATCAAAATAAAGCCGATTTACTTCCAGCGAGTGAATTGGGAACAGTTTGTACTTTGAACTCACAAATAAAATATAACAAATTTTGCAATAATTCAAAAGGGGCATTGTTAAAAACCAAAGAGAAGGTCATCGACAGGCTATAGACCCTACCCCCAGAGGTTTCCACTTGCCATTAGAGCAAATTAGTCATCAGAGGCCAATACAACAGGCCCTCATCTTCTCAAAGAGTCCAGGCGTTGTAGAGAAAGTGGTTAATAAGAATTAAAGGTCCTCTCTGCACAATGTGTTCAACTTGGTAAAGTTTCAGAAATACTGAATCTAATTATGATCAAACTTTTTTTCTTTTCCTTGTCCTTGAAAATGAAGAGGAATTCTAACTTACTAAACCAAAATGTAGACAGGCATTTCATAGCTCCAAAGCCAGAATGTTTTAATGAGGACAATATTTAGCATTCTCCAGTTTAGAACAGATATTTGTACATGTTTACTGTGGCCTAATGTCATCAATGAAAACAACTAGAAGATACAGATGTGTATAGATCTAACTTGTAGCAAAGGAGCAGACACTATGTCTTGTTCTGTTGGTGTGAACAGGATAGAGCAGAGTTACTGAAAAACTATAACTGTGTAGGAAACAGAAAGGAAATCTTTAAGGCAGGGGTGTCAAACTGGTCCTCAAAAGGGTGGGCCGGTGTGGCTGCAGGATTTCATTCTAACCAAGGAGCAGGAACCAGACTCCACCTGTTTCCTCAAGTGAGTCCAGTCTAAACCTGAAGACTTGAGGAAATGTGTGGAGTCTGGTTCCTGCTGCTTGGTTGGAATGAAATCCAGCAGCCACATCGGCCCTTTCTATAACTTTTTTTTGACAAGCCTGCTTTAAGATTTAACCCTTGTGCTATTCTTGCTACAGTGATTAAAAAATACCCTAAAAAAAAAACAGCTAAATTTTGATGATTTGGACTAGCTCCTTTTTAGACCCTAATTTAGTGCATTTTTTTCTACTTTTAATCACTGGGGCAGAATAGAAAAAAGGGAGGAGGGGGGGATAATTTAAAATGCATACATTGTTTAAAAAAGCAAACCTTTCCACAGTCACTGGTTTACTTTGAAGAGAATAAGCTGAAGTTCTATATCCCCCCAGACACCTCCTCTGGCCGGAGGAAACACATCATCTACAGTAGAGGTGGATGGATTTGGCGGTGGGCATATGGTGCAAAAGTAAAGTGGGTTTATGGAGGTTGCATGTGTGTCTAGGTGTGAGGTGCCAGTGCCTGTTGCAGAGCCTTGATCTTGGGCAGCAGAGTGTGAGCGTGGCCTCCTCCGCTGAGTCTGATCTGCAGTGAGCTGAGAACACACGCTGCTTCATCTGTGAGGCCAGACCGCTCCACCGCCTGCACACACAAGCAGCACACTGTTCGTATAGCGCAACATTGTTACAGTGGATCTGAGTTCAGGTGAAATGACTGAATGAGAGGATCTGGAGGACAGGAAGCTCCGGACTACTGCACAAAGGTTTTCCGTGATCTCACAGTTCAAAATGCACGCAAACCCACAAAGGCTAATTCAGATACTCGACTAGATAGAAAGATGTATACTAGGAGTAAAGGAAGGCAACTTGTACAACAGTTTTCAGCTGTGGAAGTGTGTGTGAATGGGGAAGTCTGGGCACCTTGGCTTAGACTGCTACCCCCGCGAAGATAATGGATGAATGGAATTAAATTTTGACAAGTTTTGCTCTATTGGTTGCTGGAAATGCAACCTGTAAAATAATTCCATTCAAAATTACCAGCTTTTCCAGTTACATTTGGAATTTGGGCCCAGAACCCCCCTCAAAAAGAGATTCTGACATCTCCATGGGACTAAATGAAAGTCAAAGAAATTTAACACATTGACAATCTCTAGACCATGGATGTCAAAGTCAAGGCCCGAGGGCCAGATCCGGCCCGCGAATCAATTATCTTGGACCCCAGGATGATATTTGATTAGTATTAGAACCGGCCCGCACAGAGCCATAAGAAAATATTGGATTATTCATTTCATCTACAGGACATGTAAAAAAAAAAAAAAGAAAAACACTTGAAATTACTGACAGAGCCATACAAAAATAATGGAGTATTCATTTAATCATGAAATTAAATTTTGTCTACTGTGTTAGGTCTTGGTTCAATAGGTTATAAGCAATCATTTTCATGTTTTAATAAACATAAAAAAAGGCCGAACCAGTCCGGCCCTCGGCTTGTAGCAAATTTGTTTTTTGGCCCTCTGATGTATTTGACTTTCACATCCCTGCTCTAGACTGTTATCTAGCCAAGGTAATAATAAATGAATCATACAGTAAATACAATGTTTCTCTTTACATGTTACTTTTGAACTTCAGTGTACAAAGATAAAGGGTGCACTGTGACTGAAAAGGAAGAAAGGTTATAAAGTGTGTGGCAAAAATGGCATGACTGTAAAGCAGTAATTATGACGAGAGAGAAAACACAGAGAACACATGTAAAACATACTATAATACTGTATAACTCTACATTCACACCTATAAAAGATATGTAATGACTCAAAATGCATTCATGCAGGATCATGTTTTAATTTCTAAATTGTTTGAGGAACTTACTGAAAGGGGATTGTGAGCAACTGCTGTAAAGTAACAGGCAATATATTTTTGTATTAATAACAATTGTTGTATTTTTAAGTGTAGATTGAGATGTCTTTTAACCTCTATTTTGCAAACAATAGAGAAGGTTATCCCATTCATTCATAGATTGTCCATGTTAAGTTGTGATTAAAATGGCCCACAGTGCATTTTACCGAAAGAAGTGTCAACAATTATGAAGTAAAATCCTTCTAAACCAGTTTAAAGCAAACACAAAAAGACTAATTTAAAACAGAGCTTGGAATATGACGGCTAATCGTCTCCCAGTAGGAGCATGTTACCGCTGTTATTGTGAAAACAGACTAATCACAGCTTATTGCTTAAGAGAAGGCAGCTTTGTTTATTTACCGAGAGCAAAATCTGTGTTGATCCACTCTGAGAAAGAGGAGAAAAGACGGCAAAGCTGAGTACGAGCTGGAGGATCAATACTGGAGCACGAGATGGCTGCTTTGGCTGCGGTGACAGAAGACATGCCAATATGTGGTACCGATCGTCCGCAGGAGGGGCCCCCGCGGCAGGGAGGACGCCACGCACACGCTCCCACGCCTCTTTGGCCACAACCTGCACACACACAAGGCATACGAGCGTTCCAAGATGAGATTTTTGAAGCCCTCGCCACATGGCTCGCTTTTGAACTGTATTCTGAAAGTGAGGCAGAGTTACAGGAAAGTCAGCGTCAAGATCAAAGACTTGTTATACTGTATGTTCAAGATATCCTGTACTAATAATCCCATTTCCTGGTTTATATGCATCTGTGTATAGTTGGGGGGACCAGTTGTGATTGCAAAGACAAAAAAAAGAGAATAAAGATAAGCTAATTGTAACTTGAAGTTTGGAAAATGTCTCTTGATTTGATTATTTTGAAGATAAATCAATGTGTGAGGTGTGTGTGTGAATATAAACATTTGGTGGGTCTAAAAACATCAAAAGTTCAACATATTTACTGTGAATTGTTGGTTGTACTATAGATAAATAGTCTGTAGTTCTAGTCCAGTGGTCCCCAACCTTTTTGAGCTGTGGCAAACCTCTTTCATTGAACGGTTACAAGACTCACTCAGCTGAAACTGAGACAAACATGAAACTCTGCAGCCTTTAATGACAACACAAAGTATTCCTCATCAAAGTGCATTATATAGAAAATAAAAGTCTTTCTAATCTTCTCACATTATTTTGACCAAATAGGTGGTATCAGACATTTCCAAAGGCACACCAACATACCATGGTCCACTGGTTGAAAAACACTGTTCAAGCATTTAGCAGTTTTCTGAAGTGTGGCAATTGTGTAACAGCTAATCGCTTCACATGTGTGCAACTGTGTCTCTTGAAGTTGTGATACAGGATGTGGAAATCACATCACAATTGCAAGGTTGAAGAGAAATCTCTTTAGATATTTTAACGAAATTGTGCATCTCTCATTCATGCCTTATGTTAGTCGAGCAGATACACATATTGCCCGACTAACAGCTGCAGCTGCCCTGGGGCAGACTGACAGAAGCAAGGCGAGCAGTATGTGCCCCTCCAACCATCGCCAACCGTTCACGCACACACCAGACTCAGACAACCAGACAACAGTTACAGCTTTCTCACTGGTGTTACCAGAGATCTCCCATCGCCATGACATTCTTGCTCGTTTCTTTGGCAAATCCAGGTTGAAGATTGTAAAATGTACTAAAATCAAGATACATTTACTGTAATTCAAACTTGTTGGCGTTGTTTCCAGTGTCTGGGATGAGTGTAACATTCCATTGTGATGATACGTGCTTAAAATCTAATACTTCATCAACTTATTCGCCATTTATTAGAAACACTTCAGTCAGGAATGTGTTTGGGGTCTGCTCTCCTCTGAGCAGGTGAGTCACAGCCGGCAGAGACCAACCCATAGTAACCTATTAAACACTAAATAATGGATAAGTGTTGTGTGAGGCCAGACAGTGGTAAAGAGACACTGTTCCACACGGGGGGGGGGGGGGGTGAAGGGAGGGAGGGGGAGGAGGGGGGTGAAAGGGCTGATGTTGTATTGATTCTTCACTATGTGTCTGGACAGGCCGTCTGAGTTTGGGGCTCTCCGTCTCCCTCTCGTCGCCCTGGAGACTTCTGCCGTCTCATTATCATCTGAACTATTACCGTGCGCAAGTTTGCTCGACCGCATACTCATCGTTTACGCCTCAGGATATGAGAAAAGTTTGAAGTAAAGATGTGTATTCGGTTACACACAGAATTAGAGCGTGGAAACACAGCGGATTACAATTCAATATGAAACTTGATTTATTTTAAATTATTGTCATTGTTTACACTCATCGCACAGTCGGGCGAGAGAAGTGAATTCAATTTTGCAATTATGAAATGTCAAAGATTGTAATTAGTGAAGGCCTCTGCAAAACACAAAATAAGGTATTTTATCATAATCTGCTTGTTCTGCAGCTAAAATATAGAATGTTACTTTACAACATTTATGGACATTTATCAACATTCGAGGACATTGGTCTCTCCCTATGGACCAATACCATGTGTTCTATATTGTTAGTGTTTGTAAGATTTCAACGGTTCTGTTAAGTCCTCTGAGATATCTACTGTTGTGATTTAGGGCTATAAAAGAATAAATTGAGTTGAATTGAAATATAGAGACGGAAATAATAGATATTGTGCGTCTGAGATATATCACAATTATTTAAATCTTATTTTATAACGCATATTTAATACAAACAATGTAACACAAAGTGCTTTTTTTACACAGTATTCGAGTGATAAAATATGCAACACAAAGAACCCTAACAATCAATAATTAAACTAATGAAATTAATTACGTATAAAATAATAACAATTATACATATATGTCAAAAGTAGTATGTGAGAATAGACATTGTAGTCATTGTGATTGGCACACTCCAACATGGAATCCTCAAAACTATAAAATAAGGTGTATTTGCTTGGATCAATATTTGAACATTTGACTATTGTCCTCTATAGAAAAGAATCACCTTCAGAAAACAGAATTCTCTAGTTGTAAAACACTATAGATAAAATATGAATAGATGAAATCAACTTAATGAAAAAAATAATTGCTATTTTCACACCAGTTGAGTGGTTATCGGGGCCTCACTCACCAGCAGCTGGTCCCTGTGGTGGCCCCTGTTGGTCGGGTGGTGGTAGAAGTTCAGCAGCCACAGTAACGCTCCACAGTTTCCATCCTCTGAGGAGACCAGCAGCTCCAGAGCCACCTCCACCCAGTCAGAGCAGCCCACCAGCAGGAACCAGGCCTCCAGCACCAGGTGGAGCCCACTGTGGAGCAGACATGGACTGGTGTGTAATCATGTAGAAGCATTTAGTACACACCATGTGCAATTTTATCTTTGTGAAGCAATCTTTGGGAACAAAAAGAAAGAGAAAATCTACTTTGTTTTGCACATTAAAAACAGACCTGGACTTGTTTATGCCTCCATCTACGCTAAAAGCTTCAGTTTCCGTCTTGTAGTAGTATGATGATCATGCTCTGAACAGTTTTCTGCATTTTAATACATTTCCCAAAATTAGTTCTAGCAGTTTCCCAGGTAAATTTACTGTTTGCAGTCTGCTGTTATTTTATTAATCTGGTAGCATCGGGAGTTACACATGATCCTTAACACTTGTATCACTATTTGTTCTTCTTAAGGCATTATTTCACATTCTAAAGCATGAAAAAACAAGGTAGAAAGTCTAATTTTTGCAAGTTCAATAAAAAATGCATCTTATATATTCTTTAAAACCTCCTTAGTCAAGTAAAAATAAAGTCATAACAGCAACAGAAACACAAACATTCCTATTTCTGAATGGAAATATACCTTCTCTCTGAGGGCATCAGGTGAAACAGGTGATATATAGAGTGGTACCTAGCACTCACTTATTCAGATTCAGATTCAGAAAACTTTATTGATCCCAAAGGGCATTTGCAGCATAAGCTCAAGGCAGAACACACATATTCTAGACAAACACACAGTGAGTCTCACAGTTCACTGATCAAAATACAATCAATACAGAAGATATATTTATAATATTTAGCTAGACGGTATAGACTCGGCCATATTTTTTTATTTTTTATAAATGTATGTTATAGTTTACATGGTTTGTCAGCAAAACGCCCCTCTGCTCTTAAAGGGACATAACCCAATTCCGTGCACGGGAGTGTATCCTTCCCTCAATGTGGGCCTCCCTGAGATTTCTCATTTTCTACCACTGGGGTTTTAAGAGTTTTTCCTTGTTGATGCAGGAGGGTCTCAGGACGGTGGTGATGATCCAAGACACTCAACATTCAACAACATTTATGGACATTGGTCATCTCCCCCTTCTGGATCAACGTCCATTGCATTTCCTGAGTTTCTCTGATGTGTGTTGGCGAGTGTAAAATCCACCGAGATAACTATTGTGATGTGGAGCTATACAAATGTTTTTTGAATTGAATTGAATTGAAAACTAGTCAGAGGACTGAGGGGAGAGCAATGATGTGTATATGTACACAATTGTGTGTGCAAATACTAAGGGGAAAAACAACACCATGATCAAAAGCTGAGGAAAGTTGATTTTATGTCCTTAACATGGAGGATTGTCAACACACTGTATTCAATTAAAAAATCCCTGGGAAGATCCTTTAGAAATGCATATTTTTTTTATGATTTGATTAATGTTGGGTTAGTTGCTCTCATCTTCTGGGATCATGTGTTCCACTTGTCCCCAGCCGGCCCAGACCACAGCTCTGACTGGAATCAAGCCTTAAGTCTCTCTCCCGCAGCTGCTGAGTGAATCCAGACTTAATGTGAGTGAAGGATCAGATCTCTCTCAGATTTCCCCAACACCGTCATTAGTCCCCCTGGTTCCAAACGCGATCAGCAGCACAACACGACGAGGGCCTGGCAGCTGCCTCTTTGCTCCAGGGCAACACGGCTCACCGTTTTTTCCCACCGCTGGCTCTCTCCGTCTCTTGGGGGGGGGGGGGGGGCCGCACGGGGGATAATGGACCCTGTTAAAGCCGCAGCTGAAGGGGACGGCCGCCATGTCCCATCTCCTCTGCTGCGTTATCTCCTGATCTAATCCATGCACAAGCTCCAGCAAGCGATTCGGTGTCCCTTTTATGCTAATATCAGAGCTTGGAATATCTTCTGTTTTGTTGGTGACAGAATATACACGGCCTGGTCTGGAATGTAGATATTTGACACCTGTGGATTAGAATCGTATGTTTTGGACACTACAGATCTGAATCCTGCTTCTCTTCTATATTAACTGGCAAAAAGCACATACACACAATATGTATGTATCCTTTAACATTTATTATAGTTCAGTCCATTTTCAAAGATTGGGAATTGATTCAGGCGATCACTTTTCTATAATAATGTTAAAGATCATTGATTACACAGCTTGCACAATTTTTACGTGGTGCAGGCCGTTCCAATGAAATAAATCTTGAATATACGTCTTTTGGGGAAAAACTTTCTCCCTCGTTCATAAACAAAACACCAAGCTTTTTGAACATTTTAAAATGTTGACGCTTTTTTATCGTTCTGTTATGTCAAAGTGTTAGAATAGACATATGACATTTCACCATCCTCTTGTCCAATACTATTATATATCACAAAACAATTGGTACAAAGTACATTTTGAGCCTGTTAACTGATGAAGAAAACCTTATTTTCAATTGTATGCTAATTTTGGAGCTACTTTTTCCTTTGTTGGCCTTCTCGTTCTCTTTCGCTCTCTCCAGACTGGTGAACAATTGCCTTCTGCACAGCTCTGTCCGCCCCAGCTAATAGTCTCTAATGAGTGCTTGGAGATGGCAGGGTAGAGAGTACCAGGAGCTGGAGCAATTGGAGACGTCTAAGCAACCTCAAGATTGCCTAATGCAGATAACATAAAATGACACATTTTCTCAGCTTTCCAACCTGTTAGTCCCATCTCTGTCCTCTTCCTCCTCTGCCACTCTCTGTAATGAGCCACTAAGCCAGTTGAGATGGTCTCTCCAGGATTCTTCAGGCATCTCTGAAAGGTAGATTTAAATATAATCACTACTTATACTGGACATAGATCATATTTAGCTTTGTGGTCAGAGCTGGATCATGTTAGAATTCAAATATCATGATCTTATTATCGAGGCTTCTCACTCCAACTCGGTGTTTTATGAAACCACTAATGAATTAATGGCTTCGGTTCCCTTTTCCATTAGGTAATACCACAATTGCTAAAGTAAAAGTACCATAGCTCTCCACATAACATTGACAAACCGATTTTCGCCCAGGGCTAAGTTTTAACAATGCTAAACAGCGGATAGCTAATCCACCACAACTCATGATAAAACGTCAAACCGTACAGTATTCCCGTCAAACCTCTAGTGAAAAATGGGCCTTTAGCACAAACATAGGCAGTAATTATTAACCCTGCGGTCTGGCGGGGGTCCAGTGTGTCCCTAAATGGCTTCATTCATGTGAATCACTGCTGCCTACAGTCCGGTCTGGACACAGAGATAAGCTATGCTCTGTCGTGCCCCTGCATTCACCTACTGCACATCCCTCCCAATATATCCAACACTTTTTACAAACAATTGTGTCTCTAGATTGCATATAGTTGGTTTAAACTGTCCTAAATGTTTACTATGGGTACAATAATGCCCTTCTATAGAGGAGAAAGGTATTTGCCTGAGAAAGGTATTAAAAGACCAGACTGGAGCTTGGTGAAGATAGTAGGCCACTTGAATGATTCAAGGTGAATGGAAAGTTTATACAAAGTGCATCTATGTAACTTTATTGAAGGCTGGTCCCTCCAATTCCATGTTTGTTATGTTGGCAAATAAAAGCATGGAGAAGAGCAAGTGAAAGTACCCTCTTAGCAACAAACACAGGGAAATTAAGAAAAAAAAAGAATCTTTTTCCAAAGTTTATGACCATCCAATTAACCAGTAAATGCCAAGCCTTTGTTCATTATAGTTTTAATGAATGTGGCTTAGTCCATTATCAAAATATTCAAATGTTTTGAAATTATATTTGGGGTCTCACTTTGAAGCAAATACATGACAGACCCATTATGCGCAAATTGTGAATTGGATTACAGAAATAAATGGACTTTTGAAAAAATTTCACATTTACTGAGTTTCACCTGTATAGTAGTCACTTGCCAAAAAAATTAGGTATTGCCGTTTAGTTTAGTTAACTACATAGGGAGATTATTATTAGTGAGTTTCTATCCATGGTTGCCAAGGGAAGGCTGCCAAAAGCATGACTCCCATTGTGTTGGTATACACAAGGGATAAGCATGTCTCCCTTGTCATCACAGTGAGCTACAACCTTCCTCATTATAAACATTATTGTTTTGATCTGAATGTTTATCCGGGTGAGCAGGCTAAAAGGCGCTGACTGATCATTCCTTTGTTTCCGCCCTGATGGTGTTTCCTGGAGCGTTCCACAGTGTTTGAGGGATTTGGAATTAAATATAAAAACCAGGTTCTTCAGGATCCCAGGCAATTGATGATGGGCAAAATATTCACAAATATAAAAATATGCCAAATGTCAGAACCCATCCTGTTTGAGACATAAAATTAAAGAGTGGTCATATTTGAATTCAAGATGGAAAAGAATATTCAACAACGGACAAACAACAACCAAGTGGCATAGTTCCATTCCTTAAGAAAATACATTTCGGGTGAGGGTTGCTCCATTTCCTATATTTACAGACACATTTGTAGAAATCTGCTCATTGTAGAAGTTGGTTTATTAGGAGAAAAAGGTGTAGTCTCTTTATTAAGTCAACTTCTAACGTTCAGGGGTCAAGTTGAAAACAAGATATCCGGTCACTATACTTCCACATGTCCCTTAATAAAAAGAGGCCATTTTGTGTGAGAAATAATAATACAAATGAATGTCACTATTTAGGTAACCCCAGAAGTAGCAAAATTATTGTTTTGAACAAGAAAAGGAATTTTAGGAAGGACTGTTGAAATGAAAGTCCAGCTAAAAGTATGTGAGGTCCGTAGTGAGAGTCTAAAACCCAGCAGCTGAAGGTGCGTGCGCCTCGTAGTAGCCAGCAATATTAGGTGCTGTGGCCAAACGGAGGCTGTGGCCGGTCCTGCTGCATTTTAGGACCAAAAGGAGCGAAAGGAGGAAAAGAAGTTGGTTCCCGCTGCTGCTCTGTGATATCTTCCTGGCAGAAGCATGCACAGCGTACCGCGCAGCTCGTGCTGCAGAAAGAGCATCTCTGGGTGCAGGGAGACATGAGACCTGATGGTGGCAGAGATGGCAGTGGTGTAGCACAACCGTGGCAGGAAGGAGCACCGGCTGATGCCATCAGACAAGCAGCACGGCAGACTCTGGAGGTCCTAATGCAACCATGAAAACAGCAGAAGCAGCTCCATTATGTTTTGAATTACCTTGCTAAATTACCATTGCCAAAGGGGGGCATAATGCCTTGCTCGGATTTAGTTTATTACAGTAGTTAGTTTACACCATAACTCAGTAAAATTGCACTTATGTGCAAAAAGTGAACACGAGCACTAAAGTTAATAGGATGGATGCAGGAATAATTTAGGAATGGAAGATCTGCACTCTACAAGGGCTCTTCTAGTTAGATTTCTTATGTCCTAGAGCAGATGCAATGAAAAACACAGCTTTTGACATTATATAAGGTTCACTTACTTGTTATTATTTGATGTGAGATTTTGACATGCAAGGCTATAAATGGTACGGCCCTCTCCTACCTACAAGTATTAGGCCTATATTGTGTAATCAGCTCCCCAGACATGTCAAGGAGGTAGTACCACACAGCCTCAGTCCTCGCACAACAGCCCGAGTCATGGATCTATAGCCTGTCCGTTCGTGAGAGCGGATCCCTCTCTCAATATGGGCCTCCCAGAGGTTTTTCCCACTGTTTTTTTTGCAGTCGTTCTTTGCCAATGCAGGATGATGATGCAGGGGAGTAAGGATCTGGGACATTTTGGGACATTTACAGTGCCTTGAGAAAGTATTCGGCCCCCTTGAACCTTTCAACATTTCGCCACATTTCAGGCTTCAAACATAAAGACATAAAAATAAATAAAAAAAATCAGGAATCAACAACAAGTGGGAGACAATCGTGAAGTGGAACGAAATTTATTGGATAATTTAAACTTTTTTAACAAATAAAAAACTGAAAAGTGGGGCGTCCAATATTATTCGGCCCCCTTGCGCTAATACTTTGTAGCGCCACCTTTTGCTGCAATTACAGCTGCAAGTCGCTTGGGGTATGTCTATCAGTTTTGCACATCAAGAGACTGGAATTCTTGCCCATTCTTCCTTGCAAAAAAGCTCAAGCTCAGTGAGGTTGGATGGAGAGCGTTTGTGAACAGCAGTCTTCAGCTCTTTCCACAGATTCTCGATTGGATTCAGGTCTGGACTTTGACTTGGCCATTCTAACACCTGGATACGTCTATTTGTGAACCATTCCATTGTAGATTTGGCTTTATGTTTTGGATCATTGTCCTGTTGGAAGATAAATCTCCGTCCCAGACTCAGGTCTTTTGCAGACTCCAACAGGTTTTCTTCCAGAATGGTCCTGTATTTGGCTCCATCCATCTTCCGATCAATTTTAGCCATCTTCCCTGTCCCTGCTGAAGAAAAGCAGGCCCAAACCATGATGCTGCCACCACCATGTTTGACAGTGGGGATGGTGTGTTCAGGGTGATGAGCTGTGTTGCTTTTACGCCAAACATATCGTTTTGCATTGTGGCCAAAAAGTTCGATTTTGGTTTCATCTGACCAGAGCACCTTCTTCCACATGTTTGGTGTGTCTCCCAGGTGGCTTGTGGCAAACTTTAAACAAGACTTTTTAAGGATATCTTTGAGAAATACCACTCTTCCATAAAGGCCAGATTTGTGCAGTGCACGACTGATTGTTGTCCTATGGACAGACTCTCCCACCTCAGCTGTAGTTATCTGCAGTTCATCCAGAGTGATCATGGGCCTCTTGGCAGCATCTCTGATCAGTCTTCTCCTTGTTTGAGATGAAAGTTTGGAGGGACGGCCGGGTCTTGGTAGATTTGCAGTGGTCTGATACTCCTTCCATTTCAATATAATTGCTTGCACAGTGCTCCTTGAGATGTTTAAAGCTTGGGAAATCTTTTTGTATCCAAATCCGGCTTTAAGCTTCTCCACAACAGTATCTCGGACCTGCCTGGTGTGTTCCTTTGTCTTCATGGTTCTCTCTGCGCTTTAAACAGAACCCTGAGACTATCAAAGAGCAGGTGCATTTATACGGAGACTTGATTACACACAGGTGCATTCTATTTATCATCATCAGTCATTTAGGACAACATTGGATCATTCTAAGATCCTCACTGAACTTCTGGTGTGAGTTTGCTGCACTGAAAGCAAAGGGGCCGAATAATATTGCACGCCCCACTTTTCAGTTTTTTATTTGTTAAAAAAAGTTTAAATTATCCAATAAATTTCGTTCCACTTCACGATTGTGTCCCACTTGTTGTTGATTCATGACAAAAAATTAAAATTTTATATCTTTATGTCTGAAGCCTGAAATGTGGCAAAATGTTGAAAGGTTCAAGGGGGCTGAGCTAGATGACCTGGCCTCCAGTCACCGGAACCATCTGGATGATGGTTTTGGGGTGAGCTGGACCACAGAGTGAAGGCAAAAGGGCCAACAAGTGCTGAGCATCTCTGGGAACTTCTTCAAGACTGTTGGAAGACCATTTCAGGTCACTACCTCTTAAAGGTCATCATAAAGAGAATGCCAAGAGAGTGTGAAGCAGTAATCAGAGCAAAAGGTGCTACTTTGAGGAACCCAGAATATAAGACATTTTTTCAGTTGTTTCATACTTTTTTTTTTAGGTAAGTACATACAGTAATTCCACATGAGTTAATTCATAGTTTTAAGGCCTTCAGGAGAAAACGGTTTCATGTTCACCCTCTCATCCATCTAATACATTACAATATTGCATTATAAAAGTTAAACAAATATTTGTATAAAGTAATATTGCATTATTTAAATGTATTATGGTTTCAATAACTTAGTAAAAAAATTAGTAGATTTCACCTGATGTTTCCCTGGATAACATTGAGGAGGAGGTTCAGACACATTCCAGAGGCCTTGTGTCTCCAGAAACCCCTGAAGAAACTTCTATTGATGGTGCTGAACAGACAGAACCCGTGATTCATCAGGAACAGCCACCAGAATTCACACAGACTGAAAACAAGAACACATCTTTTGACACTTCTGCTGCTGCCAAAGATGTGTTCCTGGATAACATTGAAGAGGAGGTTCAGTCAATTCTGAATCTGGAAACCGCTACAGATGGTGTTGAGCAGGCCACACTCCCAAGTGACCAGGAACAGTCAGCAGAACCTGTCCAGACTGAAAACGAGGAGGTAACTGTCTGCGATATCCAAGATGTAACTCAAGACACCACATCTGAACGTTTAGACAACGCCTGATAACAATATTGTTCTGTCACAGGCTTCTCTACTTTGTCAGCAATGTGCTCACCCAAAAACTATTCAAACTGGCTGGATTCAAGACACCATAACACCAGTCTAATGGGTGTGCGCTGGCATAACAAGATCAAGCAACCGCTGGAGTTGGAGGCCTAGATGAAAACGGCTATAAAAAGCTGCACAAGTCTGTAAAGCGCCCACAATTGTCTCTTGGTTGAGTACGGCTCGGCAGACGCACTCCTGAGGGCAGCTCGCGAAGCAGACACAGATGCATTTGAAGCGGCTGTGGTGAAACACATAAACCCTGTGCTGAGTGCCTTCCCTTCCAGAAGCACCCAATTCACCTTCAATTAAGCCCCTAGCCAGCAGGACCAGCACTTCTAACCATCTTTGAGGAAAGTTACACAGTCCATTTTAAACTTAAAGGTGAATTACACAACATTCCTGCTTTTTGCTTTGGTCTCTCTAAATGTTGTTCAGCCTGGAATTTTCCACAATATGGCTTTAGACTAATACATCTTTATTAACAGGCAATCAAGTGACCTCAGCAGTCTACATGTTCCAGCATCTTATCTGTAGAGAGTAGGGGTGGGCGATATATATCGTAGACAATAATATTGCGAAAGTGAATTTTTAGATATGCTTTTTATTTATTGTCAATTAAAAAATATCTCCAATACCCATTACAAGTAGAGAAGGCAAGATGCCCATTCGACAAATGTGTGCCTAAAAATCAAACCACTGCTTTATTTGTACGTTTCAGTAAATATTGAGCAAGCCTTTTTGAATGTGTTCTTCCTGTTTTACTTGAATTAGATTTGTAGTTAAATTTGTTGTTAATATACTGTATGTTTGTGCATGTTTAGGAAAGATGTCTGAAGTGCTGTACAAATAAAAAGCTGCTATTTTGAGCTACACTATCTCCATCTATAGATGCCCTGGCACGCAAAACATTGCAGATCCTTGCGTGCAAAAATTATTGATTTTAAAGATATTGTGACAGTATGGGAAAGAATATTGAGATATTTATTTTTTCCCATATCGTCCACCCCTAGTAGAGAGGAAAGCCGCATTAATTTAAGAATTCAGGATTTTGAGCTGTAAAATCACCTGTAATCACATACTGGACAAGATATGTACAGTATCATACTGAGTGTCTTAAGCTCGCAAACGAGAAAAAAAATACATCTGCAGGTAATAGCAGATGTATTTTGAACTTCATAACCCACAAGTTATACATCATTTTAAAGCTTATTATCTCAGCTATATTTATATGTAAGTGTAAACTATATCAGACACAAAATAAATCACGTTTGTAAGTGTTTTACCTTTCGTCTTCTGCTGCTCCAACAAATTAGACTTTCCCCATCCTTGCTTAATCTCTCTCTCTCCGTAACTCTTCATTGAAAAAGAATATCCACTTGTATTTCCCAAAGTATAATCTATTCTTCAGAAATAATCCAAAAATGTGCGTTTTTCTGTTGCAAAAAAAAAAAAACGCTCCAAAAGAGGTTCAGACTGCTCTTTTACATTTCGCCAAGTTTGAGCTTTGTTTACCTTCAAAATCAGCGTATCCACGTTTTCCTAACTCCTTGGCTTCAAAAAGAGAGGTTCTATGAAGAGATACGAGAAGTTGTCTGTCTGCAGTACCCTTGTGAAAAAGACGAACCGCATCCATTTGCACAGCGTCCGTTTGGTTTTGTTGTTAGCTACACGGCTAGCGCAATGTGCTAGCACTGAATGATTGACGTGTCTAAGTAGCCAATAAAAAGAGCTTTCTATTGATGGGTTGGACTTATAGGAACCCCTTTTAATTTCCACAGTAAAAGTGTGCGTAAAGACCAGTGGGGGCGGGTCCCGGCTCAAAAATGGCCAAAATGACGTGCGCCGACATGCTTGCAATACCTGCTAACATAAAGCATTGGCAGACCTCTCGAAAACGTCTTTACAGGATGGTCCAAAAGTTGGCTCTTGGCCCAAAGCTCCGTTCCACATGTGTGTCAATGCTGAGGGGGGTGAATTTTATTGGACCACTCTAGTTTACTTCCTGTGAATTTTTGAAGTCTCTCGTTCAAATGAATGGAACTTGCACCGGCTGACGCATGCGCAGATGCGTTTTTTCACAATTTTCTTGTGGGCGGGACCACTCGCGGCCATTTTGGATAGCTCCAGTAGAGCACATTTTTTGGCCCATTAGTTAGAACGTCGGAGATAGGCGTGACTCTGTCCGTTAAAACATTTTTTTGAAAAAATGTAAAAGAAAATCACACAGATTTGTAACTTATAAGTACCAAAACTAAAAAATATGCTTTTTATGATGGTGAAATGTTAGTAAAGCAGTTTGGCACAATTTTTGCCAAATAGGTTCCGAATGGCACTACTTGATAAAAAAGAGAAACTACATAAAAACTATAAAACTTAGAAGTCTGAAACATTACACAGTTGTTGTCAACAACACAATGAACAAATTGGCTTTGAATATTTTCTTCTTCCAATGAAGTAGACTTTTTTAGGGCATTTATACATAGAATTTTTTAGGCGAGTGAAATAGGAATGACATACATTATTTCAGTGTATATTTACATAAACTAGAAGGGCCTAGCTTTAAAATGATGCATCACACAAGCATGTGAGATGTAAGATGTGTTTTTAAATAAGCAAAGACATTTGGGTATGCCGAACTTTAGTGCATGAGCCAAAACAGATATAGGAGTTTAAGAGGTTAAAGCGTCTTCAAGAATCAGACTTGCAAACTCAACCAGAGTAAAAAAATCTGTTTCAAAAATCATGATTTAGGGCTGAAAATGGTTACATACCGAAAAGCACCTGCTACAGCACGCATACATAGTGACACAAAGGCTTCTAAAGCATACTGGGTTTGAGGAAATGTTCTTCTGAAATAATGAATCTTTCTGCATTCTTCTGCATTTCAGAACATCCATCCATCCATCCATCCATCCATTTTCTACCCTTTAATCCATTTCTGGGTCAGGGGGGTGGCAATCAGAGATGCCACCCAAGTCTCATAGCACCAGCCCCTCACTGACCCTCTGCAGGTGGTGAGTCCACAGGAGGACATTTCAGAACATATCCTATAATATTTAGCTATATTCATAACAAGTTACAAAACTTTTTTAATAGTGGCCAATTGCTTCCAGTAGTCACTTCTATACCATGTAACAGAAGACAATCCAATACCAAACAGTTCTGTTTTTCTTTGATCATAAGTCTCTTCCCCCCTAAACCCACATTATTTTTATTGCAGATCTACATAATTCACATAAATGACACTTTCTTGGATTAAAAAGGTGATTTGTCACCTAAAGGTGACAAGTAAGCAAGTATAAAGAAATAACATCTCCATGGCAACAAGGGAGTAGCACAGCACCTTTGATACAGATCAGATCCCTTGTAATAAATTAACTTTGATTATTGGAGAGCAGATCTCTTTTTTCTGCAGCAGGCAGAGTGTTTACCCAAAGTTAAAGAATACTCGTGGACACTTTCTCTAAGCCAGTTTTCCACAATAGCGGGCTTTGTCCATTGTGCCATGTCCCAGTGGCGAGAGTCAACTCAGCACTGACCTGATGGTTGGGTCAGCAGAGGCATCAGCACACAGGCAGGAGCATGTGGGAAGTACGCCTTCAAAGGGACGCGCTTCTGTAACAACAACACCTTTATTACTCAACCTGATTGTGCGTCATGTGTCAAACTCAATGTTGATAGGCAATGAAAAGCACAAATCCTAAGGCTGAGTCTCTCGTTTGTTTTGTTAGTTAAATAAACCTATGTTTCAGACATTTAAAAGAAGTTAGGTAGTTGAAGGGTAAATTATCAAATACTTTGATAACAATATTTTCACTTTCATTGCAAACATTGGTTATCATTAATTAATCATTGGCCTCATCAATTAACTAATCAGTTGGCCCCTAATTTATATTCTAATAAAGGTGTCTTCCATTTCACAAACTGGGGATTAGAAGTTTACATACCCTTGTTCTCATTATTGTGTACAGGTGAAACTATGAAAATTAGAATTGTTCATTCAGTAAGGCAAGGCAAGGCAAGGCAAGTTTATTTGTATAGCACAATTCATACACAAGGCAACTCAAAGTGCTGAACAAAATAGCATTAAAATCATAAAGTAAACGCAAAGTGAGATATATCAAGCCTATATTTGTTATAATGTTGATAATTGGATCATAGAAATAATATTTGGGGTTTTTACAAGCTGTGTCACTTTGTATATATTCAGTCTTTATCATATATTGGTTTCACATTTTAAGTTGAATTGTATAACTACATTTTCATCTGTACTTCCCCTTTAACAACTATGACAGCTTGGAGCTTTTTGGTGTCAGCTCTCCTTCGTAATCTCCACATTATGGTCAAAACAATGAAACAATAGTATGGCTGGATGTGCAAACTGTCAAGCACAACAGTATATCATCGATAAAAGTAGGGCTATGGACAAACTATGGTGACAATGCAATTTATTATATATATATATATATATATATATATATATATATATATATTTTTTTTTTTTTATTATATTATATTTGTATTTAATAACTTATCTAAGTACACCGACTGATCAACCACTGTAGGCCAACATCAGTCAGTAAAGAGTTGATGCACCATTTTATAAAGACTATATAAATGTGTGAAAATGTGTGTCCACAGTATGATATAATGCATTGGTTTTATATAGCGCTTTTTTGGACGCTTCACATAATTCTTTTTCCTCATACATGGTGGTGATAAACTACTACTATAGCCACAGCTGCCCTGGGGCACACTGACACCTACCAGTATGTGTCATCGGCTCCTCTGACCACCACCAAATATTCATGCACACACACACCAGAGTAATTCTTGGCAATGTGTGTGAAGAGTCTTGCCTAAAGACATAACAATAGTTTGACACTCTACAGCCGCAGTCGCCCCACTGTGCCACCTGGTGTTCCCAAAGGTCTCCCATCGCAGCACTAACGAGGCCCTGCCCTGCTTGGCTTCAGAGGTCTGATGGGATCTGGCTTTTACATGCAGGAGGGGCCACAGTATAGAAGTGAATGTAATGGAAGAGTAAAGTTGGAGCATTTTTGAACGGCCCTTCAGTGCTCTGGCTCGTACATCACAGGCCACTGAAGGGCTGAGAAATACTGTTTGGAATGGGAGCTTGTGTAACCGCGATACAGGAGGTGCTAACTAGTAATGTAGCGTGTAATAGGTGGCGTTTAGTGTCCTGCATCAACAGCAGTTAAAAGCAGGTCGTGTGGAAATGCACTGTGGTACTGCCATCTATTGGTTAATTGAGGGGAGAGGAATATGTTGTGTTTTCTGGATAGCAGGGAACAAATGATAAATCAAAGGCCAGCAGGAGCACATCTGCTGGAGGACTTTGAGGCTAATGTGACAGTTACAGACGATTGGGATATTTTGATCAGACCTCTGGGAACACCACAGTGGGGCGGCATCCGTTGGCAAGACACTTCACTCACATTTGCCTAGAATGAATCTGGTGTGTGCGTGAATGGTTGGTGGTGATTTGAGAGGCCGATGGCACATACTGGCTGCCTTGCTTCTGTCAGTGTAGGGTAGTTGTGGCTATGGTAGCAGTTTATCACCACTGTGTATGGAGTGAAAGAATGACATGTAAAGCTTTGTTGAATGTACCACTTATCTTCTGTTGAAAATAAATTATTTTATTACATGACTGATAAGTTTAAGAAGAATAACGTATGAGGGACCTATTCCTGTGCCACCATTCTCTAGATTAAAAGCTATGAAAAATACAGGTATGATTAACTGTCAAGATTCAGTCATATCTATTTTCATTAAGGCAAGGCAAGGCAAATGTATTTCTAAAATAACATTCATACAGAAGCAACCCAGGGTGCTTCACAGGCACAGAAGGAACATTGGGAAACAATAAAACATTATTGTTAAGAAACCAGATACAATAAAAGTGTTGAAGAAAAACAAACCTGCAGTTCATGAATTGCCAGTTCTCTAAGGAAGCTCGCTGTAAATGTTTTGACAAAACATTTTAAAGAGCCATTTTTCTCATTTTGTTTCAGAGCACACCTAGGGGAGCAAACATTATAGTGATTAAGGACATCAAGTTATGATTTTGAAGGATTTATTCATTATAATCCGAAAAAAACTCACCTAAAAATGTCATTTACAACTAAGAATATATGACAATGTTGAGAGCAGGCTTTGGGCTGAAACACACAAAAAAACAGTCATTTCTGAGTCAGAGTGAGGAATGAGCACGTTACCACTAGATGTCACGAAAGTCAAGATATCCACATAAACCATCTCTGCACTTAATTCTGCATTCTGAAATTAGTAATAATAATGGATTAGAATTCTATACACTAAATCAGTGCATTTCTTTCATTTGTCTGCATTGTTCATTCATACAGCCCATACTCACATCCACTACACCTGGTCACCTACTGTACACTCTACAATGCTTATAAAAAGTTTCATCAGAGAAACTGTAGAAATTCAAAAATATTATTATTATTATTATTATCTACTTGTTTGCACCATGAGCCAAAGCAAATTCTTAGTTTGTGACTTACTGTTACTTAAAATGACAATAAAAGAATCAAAGAATTTGTATTTTGAAAAGGTGACCAACATATTGTATGCTGATCGGTCTAGTTCAGGGGGTCGATCGATAGTAATAGATATAGATATAGATAGATGGTCTATTGATCCCCGTAGGAGAAAATCAGGTGTCCAGTAGAAACACAAACACATCCAACCATACAAACAGAACAATCTATATTTCTGTATATTAGGATTCTAAAAATGCATTATTGTATCACAGTGGCTTAATTCATTCATGGTTATCCATAGGTTCTGTTTTCCTCAGCATTGGATGGACTGATCCCATTGGGCAGATCAATAAACTCTGATATCAGCCCCATCTCTTGCATCTCGCCTTTACACCCCTTATAAGACATTTCTTGGATCTTTTAATTGTTAAGACAACTCTTGCTTAAATCAGTTCTTTCTCATTTAAGAAATCGCTATGCTTGAGTAAATACTTTGACCCACAAGTCACAAAGGAACTCAAATGACCTCTAGGCGTTGGAAGAATTTTCCTGGAGAAAGGGTGCCACCCAGTGCTCGCTGCACATCATTACACTCTTTCCAGATCTTGTTGCTCTCTCCTTTCAGATCGGGCTCATATGCCTGGTCTCATTCGCTTGGCATAGAAACATGCCAGTGTGCTCCATGGGCGTTCTTCATACCTTCCCACTCACATTAGAAGGAGGCTCAATTACAGCACGCTACAAACATCCTGTTTTTGGCAGCCCAGGCCCAGGAAGTTGGCGTTTATTGTTATTGGGCCCAAAATGCGCAGGGTAGAACAAGCCAAGAATGTGGCTCTGATTTCATGTGTCCCATTTTTTGATTGCGGTTTATATAAATGAATGAGAGGGGCAGAGGTGGGTTGCACTCGTCTCAGATTCTAATACTCGAGGGTGTACAAAAGTTCATTTATTTCTGTAATTCAACCTAAAATGTGATAAAGACTCATTACATTCAAAGTGGCATAATTATACCAAGCCTTTGTTTGTTAAAATGATGATGATTATGGCCTAGTATGAAAGAGACAATTATCGACATTATAACAAATGAAGGCTTGATATATCTCTCTCTACATGGAATGTGTCTGTCATATCCATTTCACATTCAGAGCTTCACTTGTATAATGCTTGCCATTGTAACACTGTCATCGTAATAAAAGGATCACTGTTTTGTGTGATCTATGTAACTTTTATCTTTGCATGAATTAATTCAGAGTTTCAGCATCTGTGTGTGTATGCACGTAAGTGTATGCATAAGTGCATGTGTCAGTGTGTGTAGGTGTGCGTGTGTGTGCGTAAGTGCATGTGTCTATGTCTGTGTGTGTAGGTGTGTGCGTCCGTGAGTGCACGTAAGTGCATGTGTATATGTCTGTGTTTGTAGGCGTGTGCGTCCGTGAGTGCGCGTAAGTGCATGTGTCTGTGTGTGTAGGTGTTTGCGTCTGAGTGCGTGTGTGTGTGTGTAGGGGCATGTGTCTGTGTGTATAAGTGTGTGCGTATGTATGCATCCATGTGTGTGCGTAAGTGTAAGTGTGTGTAGGTGTGTGTGTGTGCGAGTGTGTGTGTAGGAGTGTACGCTGTGGTTGATCACAGATCTTTAAACAAACAAATCCAAGACAGATCCACACTGTAAACAGTCGGTGATTGCAGGTTCACTCTATTTTACACTGTTGACAAAAGTCTCCCAGTAAAGTCCATACCTGGTTACAGCTACAGACTGTATGAAGTCAACAAGAAACTATATTTGGTGTATAGGCAAACAAATCAAGCAGACCATCACCGCAGCAATGACACAATAGGAAAACTGATGTGGCCTGATGTATGCTGGCTAGTCTCATTTTGTAACTATAGGCGGCTGCATATATGAAAAAAAAACACCTAACCCCAAAATAAATCTACAAAAAGGTTTTGCAGATGTTTTTTGTAGCATTAGGTGTCCTTAATAACATACTAAAAGTTTACCAAAGTTTGACCACTAGAAAGGTGTACTTTTCAAGATGGCGTCCAAGATGGGCAGGAAGCCCTTAACACATCCTAACTCGTTCATTTTTTGACCTAGCCAAGTAATCTTGGTGTCTAACCCCATGTTTTCTGGGTCTATGATTCCATTGGACTTGTCTAAATTGAACTGAGATTATTACAGTTATGGAATACATGATTTTGTGATATTACTGCAAGGTTTTATCTTTGGGGTAATAAGTCCTTAAAGTAATTGATAAACTTGCCCCATTTAAAACTATTTGTGAAAAAGGACGGCATCTTCCATGGACTAGCTCTGACTTAATTAATCTTTTTAAACGTCGAGACCAAGCTTTGACTAAATACACAGAGACTAAGGACCCTAACGACTGGGAGATCTATAGACAACTCAGGCATCAATCCAAAACCCAAACTAGGAATGCCAACTCCAATTACTATAAGGAAGCCCTCGGTCTGAACTACAATAATCCTAAACAATTTTGGAAACCTTTGAGCCTGAAGGTCGTGGGTTCGAGCCCACCGTAAGATCTACTTCACGACTCCCACTGATGACTGCTGCCGTTGTGTCCTTGGGCAAGACACTTAACCCCACTTTGCCTGAAGCCCCCACTGAAAGATCTCAGCTCCTGTGGACTCACCACCTGCAGGAGGATCAGTGAGGGGCTGGTGCTCTGTGTACTGGGTGGCATCTCTGGCCACCACCCCGACCCAGAAATGGATTAAGGGGAAGAAAATGGATGGATGGAATTTTGGAAACACCTGGACCAGCTTCTGGGTAGGTCCAAAAGAAACTCAACCAATCATGGTACTGTTATTAATACTACAATTGCTGAATTTCACCATAATTAGTACACAGCACTCTGGTCATCCATACTTACATAGATTTCACATTTGGATGCAAAACAAGCTATAAACGAGCTTAAAACGAACAGTGCAGCTGGTCCAGACGGCTGAGAAGTAAAATACCTTTTATTGGGATCCAGTGTGCTTATCTATCCACTAACCAACCTATTTCACCTGTCACTAAGTACGTGCTCTGTCCCTCTCATCTGGAAAACTGCAAGGGTTACTCCCATCTTTAAAGGTGGAGACCACTCCGATGTAAGTAACTATCGGCCCATCTCTATTATATGCACTATCACTAAAATAATGGAAAAGATAATTTTCCGCCAACTGTAACTTTAACATCTCATCTCCCCATCAGTCAGGCTTCCAGTCTGGCTACTCAACTACTAAGGCACTACTTAAATTTACAAATTATGTTTTCTTCATCCATTTTCTTCTGCTTCACCTGTTGTCGGGTCGCAGGGGCAGCAGTTTAAGCAGAGACGCACCGACTTCCCTATCCACAGACACTTGCTCCAGCTCGTCCCGGGGGACCCCAAGGCGTTCCCAGGCCAGCTGAGAGACATAGTCCCTCCAGCATGTCCTAGGTCTTCCCAAGGTCCTCCTGACGGTGGGACGCGCCTGGAACACCTCCCCAGCGAGGCGTCCAGGAGGCATGCGGAACAGATGCCCGAGCCACCTCAACTGGTTCCTCTTGATGTGGAGAAGCATCGGCTCTACTCCGAGCTACTCCTGTGTGACTGAGCTCCTCACCCTATCTCTAAGGGATCAGCCACTCTGCAGAGAAAGCTCATTTCGACCGCTTGTACCCGCAATCTTGTTCTTTCGGTCATTACCATAGGTGAGGGAGGGAACAAAGATTGACCGGTAAATTGAGAGCTTTGCCTCTTGGCTCAGCTCCCGACGGACGACGGGACGAACGACGGTCCGATACAGCGACCACATCACTACGCACGCTGCACCAATTTGCCTATCAATCTTACGCTCCATCCTTTCCTCACTCGTGAACGAGACCCCGAGATACTTGAACAAGAACATCCCAACCCACTTGGACCCTTGCCGCTTCACACTCGGCTGCAAACCGCCCCAGTGCATGTTGCAGTTCCTGGTTTGTTGGAGCCAACAGGACAACATCGTCCGCAAACAGCAGAGATGAAATATTGTGGTCCCCGAGCCGGACCCCCTCCAACCCCTGGCTGCGCCTAGAAATTCTGTCCATAAACACAGTGAACAGAACCGGTGACAAAGGGGAGCCTTGGCGGAGGCCAACATGCACCGGGAACAGGTCTGACTTACTGCCGGCAATGCGACCGCAGCTCTGGCTCCTGTCGTAAATGGACCGGACAGAAGAAGAACACCCCGGGGAACACGGTTGAATGCCTTCAGATCCACAAAGCACATGTGGACAGGTTGGGCAAACTCCCATGAACCCTCGAGTATCCGATGGAGAGTGTAGAGCTGGTCCAGTGTTCCGCGGCCGGGACGAAAACCACACTGCTCCTCCTGAATCAGAGATTCGACCATCGGTCGAAGTCTTCTCTCCAGTACCTCGGAGTAGACCTTACCGGGGAGGCTGAGGAGTGTGATCCCACAATAATTGAAACACACCCTCCGGTCCCCCTTCTTGTAGAGAGGGACCACCACTCCATTGGCACTGCCCTTGATCGCCACGCGATTTGTTGCAGAGACGTGTCAGCCAAGACAGTCCTACAACATCCAGAAACTTTAGATAGTCAGGACGGATCTCATCCACTCCCGGAGAATTGCCACCAAGGAGGCCGCCAACCACCTTGGTGACCTCAGCCAGGGAGATGGAAGCATGTCCGCGCACTTACACCCAAAGGCTTCACTCCCGCTCACTTCCGTCAATAGAAGCAGCGTGACTTGTTAGAGTTAGTGCGCGGACATAGCGCTCCTCGCATTATTACGCCTCACAATATAGTACCCCTTTTTATCCGCTGAGAAAATCGACATGTTTCATTTCTGTGTTACTATAATTTGTAGTGTAACACGTCACGTAACTGTATTTAAATAAGGAACACGTGGAAGAGTTTGGTAGCTTCTAACGGGAGCTGATTTGTTACTATACAGAATGTGGAAGAGGCTGCGTTTGTGCTCCGTTTGGATGACAGAGCGCACGAACAAAGATCACACAGGTACATATCAACTAGTCTAAGGTAAGGTAAGAACATATGTCAGTATGTAAAAACGGTGGCCAATCCTTTAATATATAATTGTACTTGTAATGACTTATTTTTCAGGCAAATATACTAATTAGAATATTATATGACCAAAACAGATTTCAGACACCAATAATCCTGGTCTAGGAGAAATACAAAAGGAGTAATGGTCATTTTAAGGAGCCGATGGCTGCCATTTTGAAAATGGGGCCTTTTTTGGAGTCAAACTTTGGTAAACTTTTAATATGTTTTTAAGCACATCGGATACTACAGTAAACCACTGAGAAACCTTTTGTCAGAATTTTTTTGGGGGTCAAGCCATATTTGCAGCTGACTACTAGTATTTCACGGTAAGTTGTTCAAAGTTGTTTCCTTATACACATTTTAGTAATGACCTCACAATTCTTACCCGAGAAAGTCATCAAAGTCATGTAGGTTTCTTATAAGAAAAATACTAAAAGACAGTCCAACGCAGATTCACATGTCCATGTGAACTAGTATTATGAATGATGTAAAAAGTCTCTTTCTCAAGCACATCATCTAGTTTCTTGTCTCATCTCAGGCTTTTACTTCTCAAAAATAACGCAACTTATTTTTGACTTTTGGAACAGAATTGGAAATTCGCCTGCTATGGTGCTATGAGACTTGGGTGGCATCTCTGATTGCCACCCCCCTGACCCAGAAATGGATTAAAGGGTAGAAAATGGATGGATGGATGGATATATTTTTACAATCTGTTTTAGTAATTTGCCTCAGTAGAATATTAAAGTAAGGCAAGTTAAATAAGGTACATAAAAACTGGAGGATATTCATATGGTGCTTGTTTGGTGAGGTGCGAGTGCTACCCACTCTATGCCTTAACTATTTTAATTATCAAGATAAGATAAGATAAGATGTGCTTTATTTATCTCACATAGGAGAAATTTACATGTCACATTTGGCATGGATAGAGACACTCAGATTGTGCAAAAGGAGGAAATGTGCAAACATGTTACATGCAGGATATATATGTACAATAAAAGTGACAATAATTATGTACAACAAAAGTGACAAGTGTCAATTGGAAACAGTGTCAATAGTAGTGCAGGTTTTCACACAGTGATCATTTAAAGTGACTTATTGTACAGTCTGACAGCGGTGGGGATAAAGGCCCTGCGGTAGCGCTCCTTCCTACACTGAGGGTGTCTCAGTCTTCCACTGAAGGAGCTCCTCAGCTCCTCTACAGTCCTGTGCAGTGGGTGGGAGGTATTGTTCATGATGGAGGTGGCTTTGGCTAGCTCCCTCCTGTCCCTCACCTCCTCCACAGAGTCCAGGGAGCAGCCCAGAGTGGAGCTGGCCCTCCTGACCAGCTTGTTCAGTCTGTTTCTGTCCCGCTCTGTGCTGCCCGGGGCCCAACACACGGCAGCGTAGTAAATGGAGTAGTAATCAATACACAAATGTGTTTCTGTAATAGGGACAGGTGATTTCTGGCTGCTGAAAATCACTAGAATACCAAATGTCCTCATTAGATCCATAATCCAAACACTGGCATCAAAAAGAGCTCTGCTCTGACTCCACTCACAGCTTCTGTGACCAGTACAGCCTGCTCCCATTTGGCAGAAGACGTTTTATTCTGAAAGCCAAGCAGACTATGTTCTCTTTGTGCCAACTTCAATTGCTTAGTGAAAAGACAAAAAGAAGGAGTAGACAGACCCCTCTTTTTATTGCCAACTCCCCTGTCATGTTTTATCTGGTATTTGTGAATCTCATGTGTGTGAATGTGCCAGACCACAAACAAAGTTCCTCAACAGGGAAAATAAAGTCCTTTTAAGTTGAATAGACTCACCAGTAATGACTCTTTGATCTGCTCCTGTAGTTTGTGTAGTGTATTTCTGCCATTAGAAAGAACCCGTTCCATCAGACTCAACAAGGCCTCTTCCAGACTGGACAGGCTGTGGCACCACAGTGCGACCACAGCTGGCTCTTCCAACGACAAGAGCTGGCTGTCAAAACAGTCGAGAGATTTGCACAATGGAAATTCTAATCAAGAATATAAAAAGTTTGTTTTACGTCATAACAATTTACCAAAAAGGATTCATAAAGGAATTATTGTTGGTTGCATTACTTCATTTTTTGCCAACATTGGAAATACAATTTTACAGTTGAGGTCAGAGCGACCTTTTTGATTTGGTTTAGGCAACTTTGGACATCAAACGGTTGGAACACATACTTGACACTAAAAAATGTCAAACAAGTGGTCTGGACAAAAGGGGGATCCAGGGCCACGTAGTTATACCAACTGTAATTTACTGACGAAGGGTTCAGCTGTTGTTTCCACCTTAAAGGTGGTTCAACACATTCAAAGATTGTCTGATTTGTCGTGCAATGACCCACTTAAAAAAAATACAGACTTCTGGAGCAAGCAAAAATAATTTAAACAACAATAAAATTAGGTCAAAAGTAGCTATACCATGAGTATGCAGAGTCGATAGCATGAATGAAGTCTTCACTTAAAGGTGTTGTGACTCTGGTCAGAGGCCTCTGCAAGAGGGCTCCTATCAGAGAGGCAGCTTCAGGACAAGTGACAAGAGGAATACATGCTTCAGAAGTGGCCAGAACAGAGTCACACACACAGCTGCAAATGAAAAACAAAAAGATGATTATGTTTGTAAATAATATCTATTTGCAACATGAACATTGTTTTTTCTCTATACTATTACATTCTGGACTGCCTAACCCTGCATATGTAAACGTGCTGGTAGAGAATGAAGTGCAGTTGCATATTGTACAATAATATTCTTATTACTTTGAGGAAATGTTTAAAAAGTAGGTTAAAGAGATTTTGTAATTACCGTTCAGCATTCACTTCACAAGAAATGCAGACTGTCCCAGAATGTTCCTGCAGCCTTGCCAACATCTAAAGCCATGGCAATATGACATGAGTACCAGTGTATTCTGGTATTAATGAAGACCATTTTATAAAGGAAATGAGGAGTCAATACTTTTCGCAGCACTTTCAGATGGAACTCAGCTGGTGGCACTCCCAAATGCTTCATTAAAGTCTGTGCGGTATCCTCTTCATCTGTGGTGAGCTGACATAAGATTGTCTGTGGAAGAACAAATCACAACAGGGAGCATATTGTTGGCACTTGTGGGCAATATCTTTCTCAGTGGACAAATCTTTAACACAACTTTCTCCATAGGATCCAAGCTAATTAGTAAGAGGACTATAAGATGGCTTTGCTCGCATGACATCATTTAAAACAGATGAGAGCTAAGTCGGCATTCCAGTGAGTGAGGATGTATGGACAACATATGAGCAGCTGAGGAAATCAATGTTCTTTGTTAAAGTGGAGGCTTTACAAGCATTTTCCAGAAGGGACCTCATCATACACCGATACAACTGGACTAATAAACCAGGCTGATTCTTGTCTGAGGAAAAACAGAAAGACAGGAACACTCCATACCCATTAGGGTTGTCTTGTGGAAAAATAAATCACTGTTGATTGGTGAAGCTATTAACCTGGCCCTTTGCTGTTGTACAAGCTTCCAAATATTGATGCAAAGAGAAGACAGGGCCCGAAATAAGACAAGCAAAAGAAATTGAGAGCGAGTTGGTGAACTTGGTGCCTGAGTAAATCTGAAAAGCAGAAAGTGAGGAGGAGTGCTACAGACTGGAGCGCTGTGGTTTCTTTGGCTGGGCTCTACAGCACGCCAGCAAATGAACCCTCCACACAGCCTCTCACAAAACAAACTCAATCATTACCATCTGAATTCACTCAATCACATCCCACCCTCGCTGCAGAGGCTGAGAGGCCAAAAAAGCAAAAGAAGTGGACTTTGTGCATTCAGACGTCTCTTGGTTTCGCCAGGGTAGAGCTCCGTTTATAGTCTTGAGGGCTTTTTTTCCTGGTCCAGTTCTAGTCTTGCAAAAGTCCATGTAAAGTCCTAGTTTTAAGGCAGAGATCTTTCAAAATGGGATACTTCTGCAAGCCTTTTAATTGAGCTTTTCAAATAAACATAGTTCTGATGAAGTGCAAAGATATATTGCAACAGCCTCCGACCGCACGGAGGACAGGGCCTCCTCCGTGGCGGGACCTCCCAGATCCCAGTGTTTTTGAATCTTGTCTTAATCCAGTCTTCTCTGGATTGTACCATGATGCAAGTTCCGTGGTCCACTGTGTTTTGGATTGAAAGCATACTGTGACGATCAAACTTTTTTCTTGTATTTATTTACATGTAGCTTATTCAGGAATACTCGTTTTGCCGATGATGTCCTTTGCCCACCCTGATCAAGCTGGTGCCTTTTGAAGTATAAGCAAGATAGGTGTGGTCTTTGAAGGGAATAATTCTGGCATGTCCCCTGGTTTCCTTCACAGAGAAAGCCGCAGTGTTGGCTTTGGGGGCAAGAACACTCCGCTGCCACAGAAATGATCCCTCATAAATTTAAATTAAAAGAGGGGATGTAGGAAAAAAAGAAGAGCGGTTTGGATGGGTGTCTGTTAACAATTACTAAGCCATGATTGAATTCTTACCAAACCAATGAAACAAGTATAGCCAGGCTTCAGATGGTAAAACCAACTGGGAGAGAGTCACAATGTGGTTCAGCCCAAAATAATACAGCAGGCAACCAGTCTATGCAACTCTCAATCTTTATTTCTTTTCTAATATAGCTGCAAATGTGGTGTTTTTGGATTTAAAGCTGAGTTACCCAACTTTCAAAAACCACAGAAAATTGGGACCATGTGATAAAAACCATATACTAGTGCTTGAACCTAAAACAATTTGGTTCTGTCCCTTGTTATCACATGCATGTATTTTTGGGCCACACAGCTTTAAATGAGCTTTTTCAGACAGAAATGCAAACAAGAGAGGACCACCCTTACAGCTTTAAGCCCAAAGTGTTAAATAGCGACTCGCAGGGCCCGCAGGGGCGACAGTAGCTCAGTTGGTAGAGCATTGGCCTTAAGGCCAGAAGGTCGTGGGTTCAATTCCCACCTCTGCACCTTCTCCACCGACTCCCACTGATGACTGCTGTCGTTGGGTCCTTGGGCAAGACACTTAACCCCACTTTGCCCAAAGCCCCCGCTGAAAGATCAAGGCTATTCTCACACTCAGAGAGCAGCCGTCCTCCTGTGGACTCACCACCTGCAGAGGGTCAGTGAGGGGCTGGTGCTATGAGACTTGGGTGGCATCTCTGATTGCCACCCCCCTGACCCAGAAATGGATTAAAGGGTAGAAAATGGATGGATGGATGGAGGGCTCTTTCTTATGAAAAATGTTTTATAATAAGATGAAGGCGGCATGTTGTGGTATGATTTGTTCCCAAAATTTTACTTTCACAAGACCCTTCCTGTTGGGATAAACTAACTCATGCTTTAAGTGCAAAAAAAAAGTTTTGAACTGAATGCATAGCTATTATGATAGAATTTAGAACCAATTTTAACCTCTTTAAGCTATCACTTGCAATCATGTGCGTGTTTGTGTTCTTGCATAAAAATCCAATACAAATACAAGACTACACCCATGCATACAACTATTCTTCCTAAAATGACATATGATGGTAATTACTAAATATATACAGTATGAAAAAAGCTACATATTTACACACACTTGTTCCTAATTATATTGAAATATGAGCACAGATATAAACATTACAAAGACGTAAACATTACAAATGCGTCTCCATCTGGTCAATTCTAAATTCACAGTAAATTATGGCATAATTTCAGAGGATAAGAAATGATTCAAAAGAACGCAAATATATTAGGACATACTGTTTTGTCAAACTTGTTTATCTTAAGCCATCTGTGTAAAACTTTTGACTTTTTTCCCTCTGACAGTTCTTTTCTCTCATTCATATCCTTACTGTAAACACATAAGAAATCACTGTGCCTAATCAACTATTCGTAATAATTTAGTTTTCAAATATGCTTCATGGTTCTGGGGAGGACTGACTCATTCATCATTTAGATTGGAACACACTAGGAAAAAAACAGGCGACTACAAAGACCAGGCGTCGTTATGTGTCTTGGAATGAAATCTGTGCAGCAGTCGTGGTAAATGTTAAATTCACAAGCCTGAGATTTCTTGAATGACGGGAACTCCAAGATGGGAGTCTGCTAAATCAAACACTGTTAATATGAATAATCTGAGCTCAAGGGTCGAGTAAAAAAATACAAATGATCAAATCTACAGTTGCGGTTTTACTAATAAATACTTGTTTAACCTGGGAACGAGATTAAATGGGTTGTGTTAGAATGGCGGTGGTCACATGGAGGTCTTTCAAGCAACATATAACAAAGAGGGTTGATGGTTTTAAATATAGTATGAGGACAGTTAGGATTTTGAGTGTAAAGTCTTGGTCATATATGGCTACATTCCCAGGTTTGGAAAGCAACAGCAGCACTGCACAAGAAAAGCTCATCTTTAAAGAGTACAGGCCACTTTCTTTTATACAAGCGTTTGTCTCGTTATCATACATTCAGTACTTTTTACATCTCAATATTGATCTAAAACACGAGAGTCCAGTATTACCCTGAAGACTTGATGAAAAGGGTGGGGTCTGATGTGCTCCGGCTTGGTTGGAAAGAAAACCTGCAGCCACACAGGCTTTTATGGAACAAGTTAAGACTCCTCTGATCTAAAATAATGTTATGGATTCTTGCCGGTCTGGGCCTTTGGCAACGTTAGCGAAACATGGTCACTTCTAAGGCACCGTTTCAACTTGTGATACGAAGAATTTTTTCTACGGGCAATCATCCGTGTATCACAGATTCAGAGTGGAGGAAGCTGAAGTGACCGTGGTCAGAGGAGTGAGGGGAGCGCGATGACTCAAAAATGCATCCATCCATCCACACTAAAAGCTCTTTTCAGGACTAAGAATTCACATGTCATTATTCTTTCACTCCATACACTGTGGTGATAAACTAATAGACTGCCCTGGGGCACACTGAAAGAAGCAAGGCAACCAGTAGGTGTTATAGGCCCCTCCAACCACCTACAACCATTCACACACACACACACACACCAGACTCATTCTAGACAATATGGGTGAAGTGTTTTGCCTAAGGACACAACGACAGCTTGTCACTTCACAGACGCAGCTGCCCCACTGTGGCACCTGGTGTTCCCAGAGGTCTCCCATTACAGTACTAACCAGGCCCTGTCTTAATTAGCTTCAGAGGTCTGATGGGATCTGGCTTTCACATGCAGGTATGGCCACAAGTAACAGGGTAAACGCTGCAAACAGTTGTTTGATGTCCCCTTTAATACTCACTCGTATCCACTGATTAGCTTTTGTTTCCAGAGCATTTTGTGGTTTCTCCGAGTACAATCCCCACAGACACTGGAACAGCAGCGCTCGACTCGTAGCTATGAGAAAAATACTGATGTGTTTGTTCAATGGAGGATGTAATGAACATAAGCCGAGCAATGTAATCATTCACTCACCGTCAGCCGTGACTTCAGGGACCCAGCAGACTCTGCCCAAGAAATGACCCAACAGCGGCAACTTCCTCAGAGCCTCAGTGGTGGATCTCTGAAAGACAAGGGCAAACCTTTCATAATGAATCGTATCACTGCGATGGTTGATGGAAGAAGCAAGGAAACAGTTCAGTTCCAGCAGAGGTATAACATTAAAAACAACATATGAAGAAAGTTTGCAATCGTAATGTATATAGTGCGTCATTTGGAAACACATTCAAGGGCAGTGTTTTAGTCAAATTTGTGTCCTTAATTTAAGATACAGACAATCAATAATGTTTACTTTTCATCCAATTGACAACAAAATCAAATAACAGAGAGTAGTTTTGATTTAACATGGAAGCATCTACCTTCCTGGAGATATAAGCTCCATGTCATTCAGTGAAATATCAAAGCCCTGTACCGGTGCAGTTATGTTTATGGAAATGTAAACCGCTCACAGTAAAGATGCAGGTTTTTCCATTTTTGTCAATGGCATTTTCGTATGGAGTTTGTACCCGTCATGAGAAAAGTGCGGTGTTAATAGATAAGCTCTGAATCCCTCATGACAATATCCAACTTGATCATCATATCGCCATGGCACTTACAGGAAAATAATTTCAATATTTCTAGCCAACATTACAATTGTGGCACAATTATCAATATCCTGAAAGTTTAAAAAGATTTTTCAAATTAAGTAAAATAAATTTGAGTGTTATCAGCTCATACACAATTCATACATTTCAGAAAATGTTCTTTTTTACGGTAGAAATAAAAGATTCGTCCTATTAAGCATATTAATCAAGTATAAAAGCATGAATTAAATACTTTTTGTCTTTTCTCACAAAATCAGACATGAACTGTGAAAAACATGTTGTTCCTTATGCAATTTATGAAAATATGAGACTTATTTGGAATGATGTCTCATCTTGTTTGAAAAGATAATGCCTCTGGAGAAGATAAAAAGATACTTGCTTGTTCCATTTACAAATCTCCTAAATATATTAAAATAAAGGGAGTCGTTTTCCTTCTCTTTAATTTTTTGTTTGTTTTAATTGTAGTCTTTGAAAATGTATAATTGTCAATACAAAAATTGTGACTTTTATTTCATTAATCATGCAGCCCTAAAAGTTGCTCTCATTTACTAACTAACCAAAATGACTTCTGTAGTTTTATATACGGTTTTATTAAAAACGGTATAAAAAGGTGCTTTACTTCCTGGCAGCAGAATGGTGACAGTGAGTCAAACAAAGACCAGAACCAACACAGTGCAGACCAGGGCTCTGTTTGAGGGTGCCATCGCCCAAGGGTGAGGGTACAGGCCTGTTCAGATCAGAGCAGGAGATTTACAATTTATCTCACAGCCAATGAAACCATTCGTAGCAGTTTCTCCAACAGACATTGCCATTGAAAAAAGAGATGGCGATTAGATGTTATAGTCCCAAATAAAGTAGTGTGTAGTACTGGTAAATGATGTAAAAGTATGTGATAGGTCTTTATGAAGGAATTGTACAGTATAATATCATATTTTTCGATTATAATAATTACCACTCAATTATAAACTCAATAGTGAAATGATCACCTTTGGTCTCCAGAAACAAAGAGCGTGATCCGTCACCTCCAGCAAGTAATTGTAATAAATAATAAGATTACTTAATAAATAAATAATAAAGGGAGTACATGCAAACTCCACACAGAAAGGTCTGGAGGTGGAATCGAACCCACGACCTTCTTGCTGTGAAACACAGGTTCTAACCGCTGTGCCTCCAGTTTCTTCCCAAAACCTTCAAATCAGGTCAGATATGTAGGAGCAATAATGGACTCAGACTAGGGGTGGGCGATGTATTGATATTTACGGCAATAGAGATATTCTTTAAGCTCGATATGAATTTTGACATGTGTTTATATTTCACTTTCGCTGCTTTGAAAATTTGCTTTCTCTGCCCTCGCCTGCTCGCCCCGTCCTCCTTGCTATTACTCCCCCTCCCCTCGAGTGTGTCTCATCAAACACAGTGCCGCTCGCTAAGCTAGCAGCAGAGACTGTAAACATCCTCGGAGGAAACAAAACTTGTCGAATAACTTTTTGGAGGGTTATTTATCCTCTGAGAATATTGAGATAAATATTGTATATCAAGATATAGATCGTATATCGAGATATAGAAAACAAACTTTTTTTTTTTTCCATATCGCCCAGCCCTAACTCAGACTTAAATTTCAATAGTCACATGAACATATGTCCATATAAGGAAATGGCTCCAGCTCCGGCTTTTTCCACATTTTGCAAACACTACGGGCGAAATCGGAGCTCCGTTTGGCCACTCTATGACTACGGCACATCTCATATCCCATCAAAACTCACTTCAGCTTCAGGAACTGAGGATGCAAGCAGCCCTTTTACGAGCCGTCCAACACATGTGTGTGAATCATGGTTGTGTTTAGACATGCGTACAGTAAGACTTGATTATTCACGCCATATACATTAACAGGCCCTCGTCATACATTACAGCTTGGAGATAATTGAAGTCCGGACTCCGAGGAGGTGCAGATTGCATCTGCTCACACACTCACATGTGGAGGTTTTATGGAGGAAAGGTGCTGTTGCCAAAGCAAAAGGTAATTGGTCTTTCATGCAGCAACATAACACATAACACACGGCGGCACGGTGGCTGAGTGGATAGCACTCTCGCCTCTCAGCAAGAAGGTCCTGGGTTCGAATCCCGGTCGGATCAGGGCCTTTCTGAGTGGAGTTTGCATGTTCTCCTCGTGTCTGCGTAGGTTTCCTCCGGGTACTCCGGTTTCCCCTACCACTAAAAATATGTCCAATAGTTCTGGCTTCCTGTACTGGCCCCGCTCCCATCTCTGTGTGGAGTGAGAGACAAATGCCCAAAAAAAATTAACAATTGTAAACTGCTTTGAGACTCAGGTCTGCAGTGAAAAGGCGGTATATAAATAAAAACTTACTTACTACTACTTACTAACACACGTGGTTGACGAATGCACACATTTGATAAGGCTGCAAAAGAGCAGATCAAAAGTAGAAAGAAAAAAAATTAAATTGCGGTAAAAATGTGAGAACACTGAGTGGCATTATCTTTTTACAATTTTGTATTCAAATGTCACAGAGCCTTATGAAATTTTAAATGTTGAGATATTAAATAAATAATTGAGAGAAATAACAAAAATATCACCATAGTCTTACATTTATGCATTCTACACTACAAATATGAGAGAGGGATCTTGGCCCTATAAGCAAGGATCCTATTGTACATTATAGTTGGGCGATAATAAAGATTTTTCTCTGTTCTACATAAAAAACTGCAAATTTCATGGCAAAGAACAGTTTACACTTGCACACATGTGACACACATAGGTTATCTGTAATGACACACACACAGACACACACACCACATTGCATCCCAGAACATTTACACTGATACCATATTATCGTTTTAAATTTTAAAAAGGCCTCAGACGTCAAACTGCCCCGCCGTGTCTTTCCTCTTCTATGTTGCCTCCTCGTGAGCCAGGGGAAAGTGACACACGTGAAGATAGAGATGGAGAAAAGTTGGGATTTGGATTCTTTTGGCACAGCTCTCTTGTACAGTATGGCTGAGCTCCAAGAGGAAACTTACAAAAATAGCAGTCCCAGTGTCACCTATAACAAGTCTTTATTTCTATTGTACAAAGAGTGAAAGAAGGGAGGGGAAATGTTTGCTTAAAAAATGGTCGCTACAAGTCTAGAATCCCCTCAACTGCCGTCTCCAAGACAATGGATTACGAAATTTCTTATATTGCCTATTTGGAAATGTCCACAGTAAGTGTACAATTAACAGTACTAGTATAAACCAAATAAGTTGGCATATACTGAACAGATTTTCTACTTTTACATCTCTTGTTCAAAATAAACGCTCAGATGTGTTGGATGATGTGTCAGAACATAAGAGCCTGGAGAATGGCATGCTTTTGATAAAAATGAATTCTCTCGTTTACTGGCAAAGGGCTCATAAAACGACTGCTTCTTGGAAACATTTAGCTAGCATTAAAAAAGACTTAACAGCTTTTTGTAGAGTCTATCATTTGTCCAATGAAAGGACAGTAGATGGGCTTATAAATTTCATAGTAAAACTTTTTTCTGCAATGAAATGTGGTTGCTTCCCTTTTTAACCTGCTGAGACAATTGATCCAGAGAGGAAATCAGCTGGACACTCGTGTCACCACACTTTATGTTTATCTGATCTCCATAGTAACTCCCATTGATGTCTTTCAGATGTCTTTTTTAGTCGTCTCAAATCTCTTATCTCATAAAAAAAGGACCATCTTTCAGTGTCCAGAACTGTACCACTTTTTTTTTTAGTTACCATGAAATTTCTATTCACTATGAAACTTAAAGTTTTTGACTATTATGACAGGGCTTCGATTGGGGGGACGGCTGGACATGGACATTTATAATAATAATTGGTCTCTGGTTCTCATTGCCATGGGCACTTTTGTCCCCTGATTCGCGCTAAAGTAAAGATACGATTGTAGATGAACATTCCGATGTACTTGCATCACTAGAACACGTATGTACGTACAGTATGTGCATGAGCAATACCATGTGTGATTGGATTGATTGGACAGTGAGTAGAGAGGGGCTGAGTGGGGGTCCTGGGGAAGCATTATCTGATCTGCTCTGATATTCTAGCGGTCCATAATTTGATTGTTACACTAAGATTCTGCTAATTCTCTAATATTAGAATGAGGGGTTGCAAAATGCTGGAAATAAGAGCAATATGCAACAGTTGTGTCTGCAATAAGGTCTGCAATAATGGCAAATATTGTGATATTATCCTTTCCCAAAGAAATCGGGTTAAAAGAGGAAATCAATATAGATGTTGGAAGATTGAACAAGTTGTTGCAGCTTCCATCCAGCTCTACTTAGAATATATTTCTAGGTTAGGTAGAATAGGCTGTACATATTGGTTTTCAAAACCAATATGTGCATTTTATTATAAAAGCATTAAAACAAGCTGTGGGTTTTAAGTCCTGGAGAACAACCGTCAACATGAGATGCTGTATCCCATAATCAAACAAATATAAATGAACTTAACTACAATGTTTCAAAGTGGTAAAAATGGGTAAATCATGGCATTCTTTACTCATGAGTGATGTCATTTCATTAGGGCTTTGATGCATCCTCATCCTAGTGGACCAACAGTGGGGCGCCTTTGAGCCTGAAGGGGAGCCCACCGCGAGACCTTCTCCTCCGACTCTACTGTCGTTGTGTCCTTGGGCAAGACACTCAACTCACTTTGCCCATAAGGAGCGCGGAAGTAATGTTCGCTGCATGCCCTGATGTGTATATGTGTGTCAACATACGTGTGTCAAACTGAAATTTCCCCACTGTGGGATGAATATATGTAATAGTCAATGAAAGAAAATTGAAAATAGACAATATGAAACACATTATTTTACATTTTTATTATTAACGGCAATAGTTTACAGTGGGTTAAGCTGTATTATAGCTAATTATTTTGAGAGCTTTTGTCACGTGCCCTATTTTTAGCCGACTAATTGATCAACCAGGAATTTCAGCGGTAGGCAATTATTTTCCCCACACATTTGGCCACATTGGGAGATCTGCATATTGTGCCAGACCCGGCGTTTTCAAGTGGTTAGTATATACAAATATTATCTTTTTCATATGAAAGTTACTTCAGTCATGAAATGTTACAAAAAATATGTCATTTGAAAAACTAAAATATTGAGAGAAAAGAAGCAGTGGTCAATATGATATGCAGTGTTTTGTTTGTGTTTGTGGAAACACAAACCGTATTTAGTCAGCCACCAATTGTGCAAGTTCTCACACTTAAAATAGGTAATTTTCATCACAGGTACACTTCAACTGTGAGAAAGAGAATGTGAAAAAAAATCCAGGAATTCACATTGTAGGATTTTTAAAGAATGTATTTTTTAAATTATTGTGGAAAATAAGTATTTGGTCACTTCAAACAAGGAAGATATCTGGCTCTCACCTGTAAGAAGAAGACCTGTAACTTCTTCTTTAAGAAGCTCTTCTGTCCTCCACGCGTTACCTGTATTAATGGCATTAATGGTATTAAAGCCTCAAACAGTCAGACTCCAAACTCCACTATGGCCAAGACCAAAGAGCTGTCGAAGGACACCAGGAAAATAATTGTAGACCTGCACCAGACTGGGAAGAGTTCATCTACAATAGGCAAGCAGCTTGGTGTGAACAAATCAACTGTGGGAGCAATTATCAGAAAATGGAAGACATACAAGACCACTGATAATCTCCCTCGATCTGGGGCTCCACGCAAGATCTCATCCCGTGGGGTCAAAATGATCATGAGAACGGTGATCAAAAATCCCAGAACCACACGGGGGGACCTGGTGAATGACCTGCAGAGAGCTGGGACCAAAGTAACAAAGGTTACCATCAGTAACACACTACGACGACAGGGGATCAAATCCTGCAGTGCCAGACGTGTCCCCCTGCTGAAGCCAGTGCATGTCCAGGCCCGTCTGAAGTTTGCCAGAGAGCACATGAATGATACAGCAGAGGATAGGGAGAATGTCATGTGGTCAGATGAAACCAAAGTAGAACTGTTTGGTATAAACTCGACTCGTCGTGTTTGGAGGAAGAAAAATACTGAGTTGCATCCCAAGAACACCATACCTACTGTGAAGCATGGGGGTGGAAACTTCATGCTTTGGGGCTGTTTCTCTGCTAAGGGGACAGGACGACTGATCCGTGTTAAGGAAAGAATGAATGAGGCCATGCATTGTGAGATTTTGAGCCAAAACCTCCTTCCATCAGTGAGAGCTTTGAAGATGAAACGTGGCTGGGTCTTCCAGCATGACAATGATCCCAAACACACCGCCCGGGCAACGAAGGAGTGGCTCCGTAAGAAGCATTTGAAAGTCCTGGAGTGGCCTAGCCAGTCTCCAGACCTCAACCCCATTGAAAATCTGTGGAGGGAGTTGAGAGTCCATGTTGCTCGGCGACAGCCCCAAAACATCACTGCCCTCAAGAAGATCTGCATGGAGGAATGGGCCAAAATACCAGCTACTATGTGTGCAAACCTGGTAAAGACCTATAGTAATCGTTTGACCTCTGTTATATTACAACGTATGGAGTTGAATTTTTGTTATAGACCAAATACTTATTTTCCACCATCATTTACAAATAAATTCTTTAAAAATCCTAAAAAGGTCTCACAGTTGAACTGTACCTTTAAGTTGGAGAACTTGCACAATCGGTGGCTGACTAAATACTTTTTTGCCCCACTGTATATTTATATTATTTTTAATATGGGATTTTATATTCTCTATTCTTCTGGGAACGGTCCAGGGGCCGCAGGACTATACTAACTTATACTCATCACATTTCAGTTCAAATGTGCCTTCCAGAATGGTCACAAATAATAAGACATTCCAAAATGAAGCATATGTACAGAGTTGAGGCCAGCCCTCCTGCCCCTTCCCACATTAGCTGGAGCAGATGTGTGGATACATTAGGTTAGCACTGAGGTCCCTGAGCGGCTGTTAGAGACTGGACTGAGTGTGCAGCGGGGCAGGCAGCACAGAGACTGCCCTGTGTAGCCACAGAGTAGCACCGACCGTTCAGACCTGGCCTTGGACGCCGAGCCAGCGATGGAATTTACATATGCTTACATAGTAGATTGGCTCATGTTGAAAATAAGTTTGAAATGTATTCGTCACAAGTATATCTGGGACGGTAGCTGGACATTTAAATAATAAAACATTTAAAAAGAAGATTTCTACTGGCTTTCAAGAGTAGAATTATAAAAATCATGTCTGTTCACAGGTTTCTATTTATCAGATATTCTGTTTGGCCTGACTCTTACTGGACCAAACCACTTATTATACAACATTGGAAAACCTGTAATAAAGCTTCTCTATGATGTATGTATGATAAATGTATGAACTGCCAAAACATGTCTCTAATTGAGGTGTAATAGAGAACAAATTCATGCTAATTATGTAGGAACTAGGGCTGGGCATTACATTTTATTTGTTTATTCAAGCGCGAGTTTTTTCTATCCTTTGCTTCTCTGGCCTCTGTAGTCCGGCCTTAGAGGTTTAGAGCCGAGTCAACAGAGTGTCGATTATATTTGAGATATCAACATCAGTACAATACATTTATGATTGTTTGGAATGAAAATCAATAATGTATTTGAATGTTGAATATTGAACTTGTTTCATTAAACAGCTGGATGACTTTGTTGTCATGGATTTAAAATCACAATCTTTGTAAAAAATGAGATTTCACTTTAGTTCCATATCATCGGCAAACCCTAATAGGATCCAGGGATGCTGGATAGAGCATACAAGACTGGTTTGAGATGCAAAGGGAAGCAGCTTGAAATTATGATTAGTTCTTGTGATTTAGACATTTTACCAACATAATTTCTATTGGCTGTTTGTCCCAACTGAAAGAGTAAAAGTAAAATGTTGTGATTCACATAGTGGGGAGGGTGGGTGGTTTGGGAGGAATGAAGGAGTGGTTACTAAGTAAGTAAAACATTGTTTCAAACTTAGTAAAATGTTTGAAACAAACAAAAGTAAAATGTTATGAACAAATCTTACCATAACATGCTGCGTTTATTTTATCAGAAAACAAATTATCTTTTGAATCATCGTAAAAGTCGCTTTGGGCTAAGAGCTGGACTCTTTTTTTTCCACCTTTCAGTATGAAAGAGTGACAGAGGCTAAAAAGACATTGAAATTTGGTTACCCCAGCTTAAAGTTTCATAAATGGCGAGCTCCTCTTAATTAAATACATATGAGAATATATCATACCTGAAGAAAGTCTAAGGGACTAAAACTTCACACAAAAATTCACCATTCAAGAGTGAGACAGTGTGCAGAATCTTACCAGTGGCTCAATGCTACAATAATCAACGTTATTTTTTCTGAGCTGAGATTTTTAAAATTACCATATCAGGTCAGTCATGTAACCAAAATATTGGTTCAACCTACTATCAAAGATTCATCTATTCTTAAAAGAAAAAAAAAACAATTTCATTATTTAAAGATAAAAAAATCTTAATTCTTACCGTGCTGTGAATGTAAGAGTGAAGTTTGTTTAGAAAATCCCTCAGTGGCCGCAGGTGCAAACACACGTCTTTACGGGTGATTGTGCCGTCAGTCTGGTCCCAGGTCTTCACTGTGTCCAACCATCGCTGAAGCTCCTGGACTTCCACAATCGGCTCAGACATAGTGAGATTTATACGAGAATCTGTACAAGAAACAAAACAAACTGATTCTAACTGAATGAGGATTGAACAAGCAAATGTGATTCCAATTTCAAAGTGAATAGTTAACAATTACAAGCCATTCAGATACACAACATTAACAGTGAAGGGTGAGGGTCTGAAAGCCTTTTTTTCCATTGAAATCAGAGTCATATCAAATAAACATTAAAATCACATAAGGCATGCATTAAAAATATATATACATTATATTTGAATATTCACAATATATTAAAACAGTATGGATACAATCCTTTAGTTGTATACACAGCTATACAGAACAGTTTTCACCTGCATTTTAACATTTTCACAGTACTAGTCTGCCTCACATTTTCAGGAAGATTTTTATTTGCATCAATCTGAAAGGTTGGACACTGTGACATTTTGCGTTAATAATAACCAGTAATTAGTCTTACTACAGAACCAATACACGATCAAAAACTAGTCCTGTGTTGACATATGTTCAATATGTTCATATGTTAGGCTACTTTTTAGTTCCAGTATAAGTCTTAAGTTAGTTATAAAATGATTATGTTCTTCCAGCTTGCAATAACTTGTAATGAAAGGATCAGAGTCGAGTTACAGTACTTCAAATATTACTTGAACAAACATGAAAAACCACTTGGCTTTCTGAGCATGTGTGGCCTAGTTTATTCCACATTTCCCTTCAAGAGAAGACATGGAAGAAGTGGAAGTAATAATAAAAGCTAAAATAAAGTGAAGCAACGTGTGTTAATGTGGTTATGTTAGGCACTTATTAAAACCGTCTAATGATCAACATTCGCCGCTCAGGGCTTCTTCCACACATGCGCTTGTGAAGGCCTACCGAGAAATAAACAGCACATTCTTCACCTTTTATGATGATGAGGAGAAAGGCGTAGGGGGCCACATCCAGGAGTTGTGTAAAAGAACATGTTTTGGACCCTTCTTTAACCTGGGAATAGTGTATGTGTATGTGTTTTGCTGTAATGACAGGCCTGTGTGGGACACCACAGGGTTGAGTTTTATGATCGAGTTGTTACACACGATTTGTTTAATGTCTTGCCATCATCTCTGCTGGAAAGCCCCTATGGCCCACTGATGTGAATAAATAAATACTCATTTTAGAGGGAAAAAAGGCCAAGCAAATTAAGAACAAACGCCTCTTGTTGACTTAGAGGATTAAGGTTACCTGAGAAGCAGAGATGGAAAAGCACAACATGTATAGCCAACTAATATTTGCGATAAGGATGGTACTATAATGGCCAGGTAAACAGAGAATTCATAATTTTGGGAAGTTTGCGGCTCCAATGTAGGTACTGTTGACAATTGAGCCAATGTAACCAGTTTAGTTTCAATTCTTGCTAATATTGTCTAGTTTTAAAACATTTTCCGTCAAATAAGATTGGTTGAAGTTAACTGGAATGTAAACAATTAATATTGACAAGGGCAAATTCCTTGTAAATTATATTCATAACTGTTACTAAATACAAAAGTACAATCATTGACCACACGATGTCGCCCTTTCCACTGCTGCTCCTTCGTTGCTAGTTTTTACTGCTGAAGATATGGCTGATAAAAGAAAACATTGAGAAAATGGTGTAATAAATTTTATACAGTAAATCACATCAAGTCATGATTAGAAAATACTTTACTCCTGAGCAAAACAATCGCTCACATTAGTTTAGTTTTACACAGTAGCTTCAGATTCGCTTGCATCCATTACTTTCGGGTTAGCTGTAATTTGAGAGCCAACTTACCTCACGTAAATAACAACTGCTGCCTTCAAACTTCAAAGCTTTCCCTTAGCTACAGCTCCCACGATTATATTTGTATAAATGTGCTAAAATCTCGTTTTAGCGGGGAAAACAAACTAAACTTCCCTCTTGTGTAGATAGTTCCGCACAGGTCTGAGCACTGATTGGCTGTGAGGGCAGTGGAGGCGCGTTCGCTTTAAAGAACTCTGGGAAATGTAGTTTTAGAATGAAATCGTGGGGAAAACTGTAACGTACAGTTATTATAGATCCTTGCGTAAAGTCTACACAACGTATAGGTAAACGCCTCGTCTAATTGTATAAGCCACGTTTGTCATAACATTGCAAATCAAGAAATGCATATGTTATAAATAAGTTTTATTTAGGTTCTTTGCATATTTATTCACATCGTTACTTTTATAATGTTGCCAAGAATTTCAGAAAGTGGAGCTCTTGTTTTATATACATTGCACATGTCTTTGTTTAAAATAACAGTTTCATCTTCTGAAATCACTGACTTTCTTACTGGTAAAGATACAGTATACCTGATCTGATTGTATGCTTTCTTCAACTCTAAACTATGCAATTTAACTCCCTGCCTGACTTTCCTTTAGTTTATATAAGGGGGTCACACACTTAACATTTACAGGGTTATGAAAAGTGCAAACCATGATGAGGAACTTGAAAACTGAGTCCCAATGGAATCTTTATGCAAACGTAAAGACTTGCAAATAAGGCAGGGACTACAGCCGTGCAGACTTTGAAATGCCCCCATTATACTGCTCCAGGAAACAATCGTGAACTGGTGTAGGCCTAATGATAACTTGATGTAGGTCTTATGTTGTGTATAAAGAGTACATGTGACAGAGATTACTGTGGTGGCCTGAGAACTGAGAATGGATGGCAGTGGCGGCCGGCCAATAGAGGGCGCTAGGGCGCCGCCCCACCACTCACAACTTGCCATGTTACCTTGAATAAAACGTTAAAAAAAAAAATAACATTAAAATATTTCGAAATTTATGTGTGTTTTATTTCAGATGTGGAAGAAATACTTTATAGTTTATGCTGAGTTGGATTGATTAAGCTCATCAGCGTTGTCTGTGTCGGACTGAGGACGTATTTCCGCCTCAGGGCGCAAAAGATTGCGCCCTGAGCCGTCTATGGACTCTCGTTAAAAGTTGTACATGCGCAGTAGCTCCTCTTCAATGCAAGAGATAAGACGATTTGGGGGCGCAGGAGAAGTGCGCCCTGAGGGGGCGGGATCGCCCGCGACCTGTACTGTCACTGTCTGTGACGTCCGTTTACAGTGATTGACAGGTCAAGCTGTGGGAGTTTGAGACGAACGTAAAAAGACGCAAAATGGAGAACGAGAAAAAGAATAATTCAGTTAGATCACTCAAAACAATACCGTTTGAGAGAAGATCATACCAGGAGAAGGTTGAGGTTAAAGAGCTTGGACCTAATCAGCCAAATATTACCATTAGTCAGCAGTCCAGCGACAGGGGGAGACGGTACACTCGTACTTTTTCCAGGACCTGGTTCAGCGCCAAATCTTGGCTAGCAGCATGTAGCGAGGCTAATGCTTTATTTTGCTTTCCATGCCTCTTGTTTCAAACATCAGGATCTGACCCAGCATGGATCAAGACAGGTATGACTGATCTGAAGCACTTTTTAGAAAAGGCAAAGAAGCATGAGCAGACTGGTATTCACATGCAAAATGCCCTCAAATTAGCTATGTTTGGGAAGATAAATATTTCATCCCAGCTGGATGAAAGCTACAGGCCTGATCATGTGACCTTGTTGATTCTCGTGTGAGGCTTCAGTCACAACAGTCAGTGTAAACTTACTTACTGCTGGTATATATCTAGTCATCATATTCATAGCCCCCCCAGTAGAAAATTCCACCAGCCGCCACTGATGGATGGAGTGGCACTGGGCCGGTTCAGAGGAATAGCTGTGTGCGGTCAGATGAAGTCCTTCTGAATGTCCAGGTTTAAGCTGGAATGTACTGTATGTCTGCATGGGTGACCAAGCACAGTCACAATAGCACTTATATAGGCCTACCGAGGGCTGTGGAGGCCACCAATAACAAACAGTAAGTCCAGTGTATTGTAGACATTGAAATAATGTCTCAGCAGCAAATGTACAGGCAAAATGTTTGGCAGATGTGGTATAAAATTACATTCATGAACTCAGGTGTCCAGTAGCAGCAAAAACACATCCATTCATTCAAACAAAACAAAAATATTTATTTTTTTAAAGTAGCTCCATCCATCCATCCATTTTCTTCCGCTTTATCTGTTGCCGGGTCGCGGGGGCAGCAGTCTAAGCAGAGACACAAAGACTTCCCTATCCACACACACTTCCCTATCCACACACACTTCCTCCAGCTCGTCCGGGGGGACCCCAAGGCGTTCCCAGGCCAGCTGGGAGACATAGTCACGATTGTGTTCCACTTGTTGTTGATTCATGACAAAAAATTAAAATTTTATATCTTTATGTTTGAAGCCTGAAATAATGGCGAAATGTTGAAAGGTTCAAGGGGGCCGAATACTTTCGCAAGGCACTGTACTGTATATAACTGATTGGGTTTATTGTGTTTTAGTTAATGGGAAAACATCTGCTCCTTCCATCTCTAACATTCATCCGTCATCCACAGTGAGGATGTCGAAATTGTGGACAGTATCTTGGGACAACAATAGAAAACAAACTAAAGTTTGAGTCTATTGTTAAACGAGGGCAGCAGAGAATGTACCTCTTTTTCTATAAACAGGACAATTCTTAATAACTTTTACTGTTCTTTCATTGAAAGCTTTCTCAGCTTTTCTTTTATCTGTTGGTTCCAAAGCCTGACGTTGAAGGACAAAACAAGTTGCAAAGTATTGTAAACTTGCTCTAAAATGTCCCACTCTTTGTGGGAGGAACAGGTGCTGAATAAAGCAAAGTGTATTCTGGCACAGCCCAAACATCCTCTGATCGCTGATTTTGTGATGATGCCTTCAGGGCGTCGTTTTTATGCTCCAGCTCGGAAAACAAACCGGTTTTCCAATTCTTTTGTGCCCTCCGCCATAGAACTGTTGAACGCTGGTAGTGGAGTTTGACTTGCTGTGTATTGTATTGTATTGTGTTTAACTTATAATTTTACAGGCTGCTGCTGAACTGTGAGGCCTGACTCACTGCGTTTTGGGTAGAGGGTTCTGCTTTGAAATTATGCTGCAAATGAATTGCCCTCTGGGATCAATAAAGTTTTCTGAATCTGAATCTGCTTCCAAATATAAATTCCATTTTTGGCTGGATAATATTGTCCAATGAGCTGAAGGATTATATCCAAACAGCACAAAATCTAGGTTTGCCACTGGATAATTACTGCCACAAAAACAAGCAGCATTTTCTAATATGAAACCATCATCAACAAGAAGGCAATGTTCAATCATTTATTGTAGAATTAAGGCTTGCTACAGCAAGTATGAAGTAGCTACTGAATTAATTGAGTGTTGTAGGGTCTGCTCTTGGGGTCCTCTCTCCGGGTCTGCTTCCAGGGTCCGCTCTTGGGGTCCCGTCTCTTGTAAAGCACTTTGGGTGGCCTTGGTTTGGAAAACGCACTATTTAAATAAACATTACTTTCTTACAACTTTCTCTTTCTGGATCTTCTCTTGAGGTTCTCAATTGCACAAGCCATTGATTTGAATTCGCCACCATCTTTGATCGCCGGAGCTTGGGCGGCACCAGTGAGGCAACATGCACTGTAGAACAATTTTCATATTTGCCAAAACCCTGGATCACAGATTTCAGTCTTCTAACTCTGACATCTGCTTTCCTTTCTCCGCACGAAAATCTTTCATTGCAAAGACAAAAAAAATATGTTGGATATGGATATGGTGGCGTCATGACTGCAGTGACTACAGGTGTGTGGTCAGGAGGGATGCACATGTTGAGAAATCAAAATGATCACCTGCCCCTGCAAATGTCTGCACATCCCTGATATTAATCAGGACGTATTATGAATATGCAGTTCCAAATTTACCAGCAGCAGAAGCCTCTGCAAACAGACCTACAGATGGAGCCCAGAGTCCTCCTCTCCGGTGGGTTCTCCACTTATCTGCGGATGCACTCTAGGATTTCCAACTTGTAGCTGGGGTCATTTTGGGCGGCCATGCGCACAGAGCTCTTGTCTCTCCCATAGCACAGGTCTTTGTGCACAGCATGTGCAAGTGCCTTTATGGTGCTTTTGTTCAGCTGCACCTTGACGTCCCACTTCGACATCAAAAAGAGCTTTTGCAGCTCGACACCAAAACACTCCACCTCACTTCTGTTTTTGGTGCACAGCACATGAGTGCATGTTTTTTCCAGGAAGACGAAACCTGGATAGAGAGAAGTCATCCAACAAGGGGGTTTGACTGAGGATCTGGTCCAAGAGGCTGTGCAATCAGGAGTCGAGGACCAGTCCTCTGAAAACAGACGTTGTATTTTCTTATTTAAGTTTTGCAAGCAGCTTTTCAAGCAGCGGGCTGCACGGTGGCTGAGTGGATAGCACTCTCGCCTCTCAGCTAGAAGGTCCTGGGTTCGAATTCCAGCCGGAACAGGTTTCCTCCGGGTGCTCCGGTTTCCCTTACCACTAAAAACATGCACAATAGGTCTGTAAAATGCGCTATATAAATAAACATTACTTACTTACATAATTAATCTGACAAAAAAACTAAAAAGAATATAATACATAGTTTTCAGAGTGCCTCCTTCTCCATTTATTTCATTAGTACAATAAATTTGTTCTCTGATTTGAGTCATGCATGGGTTAGTGTTGAAAGTTTCAATATACAGTAGCTTAAAGTTTTTGAATGGTTACATTTAATGAGAATAAATATTGACTGGCATTTTAAAGGTGCTGCATATGAGGAGTTCCTTTGCTAAAACAGATATCTCCATTTTGAAAATTAGTCAAAAAGTTGCATTGCTCTTACGACAATTTTCAACATGTTTAATTATTGGCAGTAAATAAGATATTATTTGCTCAAGAAGGGCTAAAACACTATGTGTATGGCACAAATATAGATTTTTCTAAAAACTACTTGAAAAGGCAAATTGTAAACCTATTAATATCTTTCTGTTTTTGCAAATTAACCATTCATATGTTATTTTTACCCACTCTTTATTGCGTTGAGAACCTTCTGCAGCAGTATGCAGACGGTCCAGATACAGGGGAGCATGCAAATACCTCAAAGGCCAAACCAACCTGCTGTATGAGAGTCCTGTAGCCTCCAGGCGCTACCCTGCTGCTGTCCTCAGTCTGAACCTGCAGGACTGGGCTGGGACACAGGTCACTCCAGGTGAGGGCCTGGGTCTGGACCAGGACTGAAAAAAGGATTTGGATCAGATTTGGACACATTTGTCTGCAGCTGCACGGCCCTCTGCTCTCATAAGCTCCAGGACAGATATCCACTCTGCAGCTATCAGTTATATCGGGAACGAGAGAACAAAATAAAAACAATTGTGACAGGAAATTTGCTGTGGAAGAATTAGTACTATGGTAGAATCATCATCTTTGGCTTGTTTGGTTATTGACAATGATTGTTTATTTTTAACTGAACTCTTTTTACCACTCTACCTCAAAAATAGAATAAAATAAGTTCACATTCAACAGTTGGAGGCTGTAGAAATGAAACTTGTATCCTCATGATGTTTAATTTTGTTAGGCATTATTTGTTATTTACTGTCCTTTTTTTGCAGAAACAAATGGGGATCCATACTAAATATACCAATACATCCAAATTAAGAAAGTAAGTAAGTAATATTTATTTATATAGCGCATCTTTACAGACCAAGGTCAAGCTCTTTACAATGTTCCAAGTTCAGATATTGTTGCAATAGGAGAATGTTGGAGTGACATCGTTGTTTATAGTTTTTCCGCTCCGGTCACGTGACTGTGTGGCACTACAGCATTGAAAGCTACCTGGATGCTAGAGAGTTAGCTATTTTTAGACATTTGTAGAAAGGTTTTACTAAATCAAAGGGTCTGTTCTTGTTGTGTGGTCGGTTGCTCGGTGGGGACCGATTACGTTTTTTTTCTAATTCTTTCGGAAAAGACGGTAAAGGTTGAACGGGAAGCAGGGAGGATGAGGGGATAAAAATTCATAAACAAATTTAAGTTTTGCAGCTACTTTTACTGCACACTTGTTCACTGATTTTTTTAAACATTGCATTTTGGTTGCTCATCCCCGCGGCTTCCTGTTCCACCTTTACCGTAAGTAAAATGCCGGGCCACTTTACCACAGTGAAAAACACGAGAAATGGGTTTTCACCACGTTCCCTTCTTGCGCGAAGGGTCCCGGATTTGCTATGAAGTAAGAATAAATGCCTCCGAGTCCCAGTCCCAGCAGATCGGTGCCAAAAGAGAGGTGAGTCTGAGCAATGTTTCTTCTCGTCATCCCAGGTATCATATGGGCTTCGAATTTGTTAGTTCGGTCTCGGATACTTATTTTTAGCTTGTCTATATATCTCCTGATCTTCTTGCCTTAAAATGCTTATATACAGTGCTATTCGCTCACTGAGTCTTTTAAAAGTAGTCGTCACATCCATGCTTCAGTATGGGTCGCTCTGCCTTCTTCAGAATCAGAATCAGAATCATTTTTATTGCCACATAAGTAACAGGAAGTCACAGACTTGGAAATTGCTTTGGCTCAGTGCAACAGTCAGAAAGAGATAATAAAAATAAAGATTAAAAAACACTTCTATGGAATAAATTTAAATTTAAAATAGAGTTACAGTTACTATTTACAATATACAAGTGCACATGGTGCACACAATGTAAGGTGACAGCAGTACAGTGAAGTAAAGTGACGTATGATGGGCAGTAAAGTGACTTTATAAAGGGCGGGGGGACAGGTTAAGAAGTGTTCAAGAGTCCAACAGCAGAGGGGAAGAAACTGTCCTTGTGGCGGGAGGTTCTAGTCCTCATGGACCGCAGTCTCCTGCCTGAGGGGAGTGGTTGGAATAGTCCATGTGCAGGGTGAGAGGGGTCGGCTGTGATGCGACCAGCCCGGCCATGAGCTCGGGCGACGTACAGGTCCTGCAGCGATGGAAGGCTGCGGCCGATCACTTCCTCTGCAGAGCGCACAATGCGCTGTAGTCTCTGTTTGTCCCTGACTGTGGCTCCAGCGAACTACACGGTGATGGAGGAGGTGAGGATGGACTCGATGATGGCCGTGTAGAACTGCACCAGCATCTGTGCAGGCAGCTTGGCTTTCCTGAGCTGCCGCAGGAAGTACATCCTCTGCTGGGCCTTCTTGATGAGGGAGCTGATGGTCGGCTCCCACTTGAGGTCCTGGGTGATGGTGGTGCCCAGGAAACGGAAGGACTCCACCGAGGTGATGGGGGAGTCCATCACGGAGGGTGGGGGCGGGGGGACAGTGCTCTTCCTGAAGTCCACAATCATCTCCACTGTCTTCTGGGCGTTCAGCTCCAGGTTGTTACCACTGCACCAGGACACCAGCCGGTCCACCTCCCTCCTGTAGGCGGACTCATCGTTCGCGCTTTCTCCTTTTACGGGCCCACACTTTTTTGGCTAGAACATGGACTAAATAGAACACAGCGAGGGGCGCATGCGCACGCGGGTGTAAATAAAGATCCTCCTATAACTCCACACCCGGTGATGACGGAGGCGAGACGCCGATTACACTGACGCATCAAAGCCTCCAACCAACACCCTCCATTCACTCTCCCATTTGCATCCATACCTATTGTGCATGTTTCCATCGGAGCACCCGGAGGAAACCAAAACAAAAGCATAGTAAAAAGTTGTGCTACTTTCTTTTCTGTGCTTTTCTTTCGTAATAATGTTTTTTTATCTTCTAGAAGCCCAAAAAAAATGAAGATTAGACGAAGGCATTCATAATCTACAAATAAAATGATCAGAATAAACATATTGAAAGCTGTGAACCCACACAAGCAAAAAGGCCCTTTCAACTTTGAAAAACGCCTCTGTTCCCATATTATAAACTGCACTCATGAACCTCCCTGCTCTGGCAAAGCCCAAGGGAAATCAGTCACTGTGAAGGAAGCTCATTTCAATTAAAGACAACAAGATTTGGTTATTAATAGTTATGGGCTTATTTTTTCAGAATTCTCCTGGTAATTACTCCTGCTGCATCAAATGTTTTTTCCAAAAATATAAAAAAAGGGTAGAGAGAAAAAGTATATGAGCGTGAGAGGAGGGGTGCAGAGTGACAGGGGGAGGTGGATCTGAGGTCTCCAGGCTGGGACCATGGCAGCTCTCTATAAACACATTTAACAGTGCTCTTTCTCATCGCACATGTGTGAGGTTTTGTGTATGTCGTTTACAAGAGCTGGACCCCAGTTACTGTCACTTATCATTGGACATGCACTCACTGTTGTCACAGAGTAAACAGGGAAAAAAGCTTTCCACAGAACGCACACAGAACAGTGCTTCAGTGCAAAAAAATATATAAAATATGAGGTCATAATTGCTTGAATCGAGTGGTTTTTATCTCAATTTGAGTACATTCTAACTTAAACAAGATTTGCCAAAGGGTCAAAGCCATTTGGTCTCATTTCAATATTGCTTTATTTTCTCATTCCAACAGAATGAGAATTTCCAACAGAATGAGAAAATCTTGTTTTAAGGCAGTCAAAATGTGCTCAAATTAAGATACATTTTGTTAAATGTGAGCATTTTTTGACTTATCTTTCATGACTTCGTGTTGTGTTTATCCAATATTTGACTCAATCTTCAAAAGCCCGACAACAACAAAGGAGTAAATCTAATTTTGTATTTGTATTTTATTTATTTGGGTTGGACAGTGTGTATTAATGAACAGTAGCAGTAAATACACCACATTGTAGGTTTGTGAAGCTAATGTCCAATGTTAATATGAAATTGACTGTATTATACTTAAAACAGCTGGCGACAGTGGAACAGTTGGTAAAGCATTGGCCATTGAGCCTGAAGGTCGTGGGTTCGAGCCCACCACAAGACCTATGTACTTCACGGCTCTGCTTGTCTGCTGTCATTGTGTCCTTGGGCAAGAGACTTACCCCACTTTGCCTGGAGCGCCCACTGAAAGATCTCAGCTCCTGTGGACTCACCACCTGCAGGAGGATCAGTCAGGGGCTGGTGCTAAGTATACTGGGTGCAGCTCTGACTGATACCCCCCCGACCCAGAAATGGATTAAGGGGAAGAAAATGGATGGATGGACCGCTGGCAAGTTTCAAATGTGGGAAAAATAATGAGGGAAGGATTGACGTGTGATTGACAGTGGTGAAGAGGGAGCAGCGTCTGCAATCAGAGCTGTATCGGACTGTTGTGGTGAAGAGGGAGCTTAGTCACATCAGTAAATTTACCGGCCAATCTACGTTCCCTTCAACACCTATGGTCATGAGCTTTGGGTATTGACCAAAAAGATAAAATCGTGGATAGAAGTGGTCGAAATGAGCTTCCTTTGCAGAGTGGCTGGGCTCTCCTAAGGGGAGGAGCTCAGGCGCACGGGAGGAGCTTGGAGTAGAGCCGCTGCTTCTCCACCTTGAGAGGAACCAGTCAGGTGGCTCAGGATGCTTCCTGGATGCCTCCCCGGAGAGGTGTTCAGGGCACGTCCCACTGGGAGAAGACCCAAGATACATTGGATAAATAAATGTGTGCAAATACTAGTATATGGGAAGACAGTTTTGAGAATATTATGAAAGTTCTACAACCTTTCATTGAAGTAAACAATACATACATGTGTGTTATTTGTAATTTATGATAATATATGGTAAAATACAGTCACTTTGCCTTTGTCGGACATCAAAACAACTCTACTTTTATGGCAATTCCAGGCATTTTTAAAGCATGCTTCTTAACTGCCTCCAGAAGATATTGAGGATTGGTCAAGCATTGAGGAGAAGTTCTGTGACCAATGTGAAACAAGACACACACACACACAGACACACACACGTGCTTCAAGCCAAAAACACTAACTATTCATAGAAGTTGTGGCCAAGGTCAATGTGAAATGTATTTGATCATTTAAATGTAACCATGCTGAAGTTATGTAAATAAAAGTTTAGTTTGACTTTTGAAGGTCGTGTTGGGCTAATGCAGAAAACCTATTCTTAAAGCTAGGGGGGCTAAGTTTTTAGATGAATAAACAATACATGTTGTTAGACCCAACAGAAAGAATTCATGAACATATCAGACCCAGTAATCATCTTAAAAGAGTATTTTGCATACTTTTCCTTTTCAATTTGATAGAACCAAACTGCTTTGAAAGTGAGGAAATAGTCATAAATATTTCTTGATAGTTTTTTTCATGATTTAATGCAGTTTTATTATGCAAATACGTCGTTATTGATTTATTGTATTGGGTTTTTCCCTAGGTGGTGTACTGCCCTGG